CAAATGAAGGTAGTAACATCTCCAGTGGCCCAGGCCCCATGACCCCCCACCTCTCTTCTTCTAGTAACTGTGCCCACCTGCCCTTCCCCAGCCACCTGACCCACAGGCTGGGCCACCCAGAGTTCTTCCCTGGGTTGTTTCTAAGTGGAGCTATCAGGGAAGAGCCTCTTTCCTCACAGACTGTTAAACCAGAAGGATATAAAACAAAAGATGCCATTAAAAGAAGAACATAAATGCACTAATGAGTTAGTGAGTATACGAATGAATTTTTGAAGCAATGTAAATACACTGAATTAGAAGAAAGAACATGAATTTTGAAGTCGGGAAAGTCCCGGTTCTGAATCTCTACCTTACCACTTAATATTTTTGAGTCTATGAGAAAGAAATGTAACTCCTCTTGAGTCCTACATCACCTCCTCATAAAATTATTGGCGGGGGGAACAACACCTAACACAAACCAGCTACATGGATCCTTCCCCTTAAGTCAGTGTATTATGGAACCCCGAAATCAGACTCGTGTTCCCAAAACGCAGTGAGCCAACCTCTGAGTCAGCAGGTCTGATCCACAGAAAGCTTTATTACCAGAAGGGCAGCCCAACGGGAAGGCAGGGAATCAGTCCCAAGTCTGCCGTGCCCTGTTGGGCCTAGGAACAGTTTATGTATGATTAGCAAAGTATGCAGTGGTTAGGGCAGGAACCGAATGGGCCTGGAAACTTCTTGAGGAGGTGGTTGAAACTTCTCCAGGTTACATGCCCCTCCACATCCCGGCACCATCCAGGGGTCCTAGTTCCTTACCTGTTAACCTCATGTCTGATATCGGTTCTGCAAGACGGACGTTATCAACCTGCATCCCTCCCCTGGTCCCTATAATTTACTTCAGAAAAAAAGAACAAAAATGGGGCGCCTGGGTGGCTCAGTCAGTTAAGTGTCTGCCTTCAGCTCAGGTCATGATCCCAGGGCCCTGGGATCAAGCCCCGCATCAGGCTCTCTGCTCAGCGGAGAGCCTGCTTCTCCCTCTGCCTGCCGCTCTGCCTATCTGTGCTCTCTCTCTATCTCTCTGTCAAATAAATAAATAAAATCTTAAAAAAAAAAAAAAAAAAAAGAGCAGTGACCCAGAGCCCTGAGAGCTTTCCTGATGTTGAGAATATGGACATTAGAATCTCACTGATTAGCCTTCAACTAAATGAAAAAGTGATGATTTGTAGATTTTTTGAAGTATATGACTGCAAAGATTTTTACCAAAATCACCGCATTTGAAATAAGTTTTCAGAAATATTTCCTTTTTTTAAGGTAAATAAAGACTTTCTGCAAATTAAGCTAACCTCACAACAGCTTCACTGATTTTACGTGTTGTTGAACACTTGGTTCCACTCAGTATATAGCATCCAAATAAAATATGGCAAGACTTAGTAACTATATACATCACCAATAAAGAAGTAAGTTAGAATTTTGTCATGGGACACCTGGGTGGCTCAGTCGGTTAAGCGTCTGCCTTCGGCTCAGGTCATGATCTCAGGGTCCTGGGGTCGAGCCCCACATGGGACTCCCTGCTTCTCCCTCTGACCCTCCCCCTGCTCGTGCTCTCTCACTCACTCACTCTCTCTCAAATAAATAAAATCTTTTTTAAAAATCCTGTCAAATAAGAATACTATGAAATTTTTTAAAAATTCTGTTCCTTTTGATCTATCAGCTATTGGGTGCTACTGGAGATCTTAAGGTCCCTAATTTGGTCTCCTGACCCTGTAGTTTTGGTCTTGAAACAACAGGACTGGAGGTTTGGCCCATCCTCCTAGGTCTCCATCAAAGCATTTCTATGTTAGTACTGGCTCGAGAAGCTTGAAAAATTAAACTGGTGAGGAGAGGCAGAGCAGATGCCTTTCAACCCTACTTCAGCTACCTGTGCTTCAGGATGAGAGCAGTCTTACTTGTGTCGAGCAGAGGGTGGGACCCGGCTCCTTGTTGAATATACTCATTCCTACTTCTCGAACTCACTTTGACCGAAGGGAGAAAACTGGCTTTGCAGGTTGGCAAGATTTTGAAACTGATTTGATCACCCATGGTGGGCAAAAAGTCTTTCTCTTAATAAATCTGTTTCCATTGTGGTGTTCTTTTTAACTGAAACTTGGTCCTCCTCTGTAGCAGTTTTCTAAAGTCTCAAAGAAATGATCAACCCACTTCAGATGAGGTTGCACTGTACGTTATTTTTTTTAACAGCAACACTCTTGGCTCTTGGGGCCAGAGATGACTTTGTCGTGGGGCACTGTGACAACAAAAAAATGTCTCTAAACATTGCCCGATGTCCTCCATGAGAGGAGGGAGCAAAATGCCCTCCAGCTGAGAACCACTGACCTATACAGATATTTTCATTCATTCCTTGGAAGAGCAAGACAAGGCTGAGGATTAGAAGCAGAGAGATATGGTTGTGGTTGGGATCTAAGTTAGAGACTGATGGAAGATAGAGTAAAGCCATTGATGAAAATAAATCAGTAATACAATTTTGGATATTCATCTAAGGAATGTGGATTTTGTGTTTTAGGCAACAGAGTATCATGAAAGGATTTTTAGAAAGAGAGTGATACCATCGGATATTTGTGTAAAGAACATTTTCTTGATCTTAGAATGAGAGAGGATTGAAACGACAGTGGCTATCACAAAACTCTGACATGGTAACCATGTGAAATGCAGCCTCGGAGGTGGAAAGGAAGTGACAGCCCCGCCTGCTGATGGAGCTGACAGGGAGGCTCTCAGGACGCGTCATGCCCACCTCTTCTGTATGCTTTGAGTAGTTCTTTGGTTTCCATATCAACATCACCATGTGTGGCTTCCTTTGCAGGTGACCTTTTCAGGGTATTTTCACTTTATATATCCTGAGTTTGTTTGGTTTTTAGTCTTATTTGCCACAGGCTCTAGTACACACACACCCTTCTTTGCCTGTTTCCTCTTCACATGGGTTTACGCGTTCAAAGGAACATCAGGGAATCTGATCCGCCAGCTCCAGGGCAGACCTAGCAGGGGAGCTTAGCCCCATTTGCATGAGTATCTTTTAAGTCTCCCAGAAAAATAACAGAACAAATTTAGGGTCTGGTGGTTAGATGCCATGCATTCAGAATTAATATTTTTTCAAAGAGAAGGGGGCAGAGTCAGCAGCCTGGGTCCACCTCTCCATAGCTTGTTCCTGGTGGGCAGGAAATTCATCCAAACAGAAGAATAATCTATAGTGTAGAGCACTACCCGAGACACTGTTTGATTATGTGATAGACAAATCTACCTGTCGGCTCTTCTCTCACTCCACTTCTCTCTCGTTCCTTTTGATATTATCAACAGAACAAAGGTTTTGTTATATACTTGAAAAAAAATCTGTTCCTTTTGAAGCTTCATTACTTTATAAATTTTAGGACAATAGATGCAAACAGGGGAAAAAATTACACCATTTTGCTTTTGTTATTTATTTTCATGAACATTTAAATGGAAAACTCATCAGATATCCAATACAGAAAAGAAAGAGGATCAGAAGAAATAACACAAATCTCCAACAACTAAAAGTTTGGTTAGTGGCGCCTGGAGGCTCAGTCAGTTAAACGTCTGCCTTCAACTCAGGTCACGATCCCAGGGCCCTGGATCAAGCCCCACATCGGGCTCCCTGCTTCTCCCTCTCCCTCTGCTCCCCAAACCATGTTCATGCTCTCTCTCACTCTGTCTCTCTCTCTCAAATAAATAAAATATTTTTTAAAATAAATAAAAGTTTGATCAAATAATTTACAATAAATCCATAAAACGGAACACTAGGCAGTAGGTAAAGAGATTACATGGATCTAATTTGATTGGCAAGGCAATGTGTTTCCAATGCAGGGGGCAAAGTAGCATATGACATGGGGCTATGAGCAAACGCCAAAAAAGATTTCTTGAGACGTTTTCGGTGCAAAAAGGTGGTTTTACTTTAGCACGGGGACAGGACCCATGGGCGGGAAGAGGTGCACTTTTGCTGTGTGAAGCTGGTGGTTATATGCTTCATGCTCAAGGGGGAGGGGAATTGCAGGGAGTATTAGATCATAGATGTCTTCTTCGAGTTTCTACTTGTAAAACTACTTTCGCAAGATTTCTCTGGAGTTTATCATTCAGCTGCGTATTAGCTATCAGTGAGATGTACAGACAGTCATGAGACCCTTTAAGAATGTAGCAGCCAGCAATATTTGATCCTTATCAGAACGATGCAGGCTATAGGTCAGCTTTCTGGGCTAAAGATGAACATTTTTCTGCCTCTGTCCCTCATCAATATATGTAATACTCACTCACGTAAAATTATAGATGTTTCTCTGCTTCATAACCTCCAGTACTTCCTCTCCCTTAATCCTCAAAACCCCTTATTGTTATTCCCTAGTTAATATTTGATGTCCCTGCCAGACCATAAGCTCCATGAGAGCAGAACCCCATCTTTTAGCCCTGGCACCGAGACCAGTGTCTGGGATGTGATGAATGCCTTGAGCTAAGGAACTGAGCTTGTTCTCCATGATCCCTGCTTCCTTTCCAAACTGCTAACGAACAGTCCATCTGTCCTAGAATTTTGCCTAGGATCATTATCAGGCCTGTACGATTTACCACTTTCTAGTTTGTGATTCTTTGCATTCTTACTCATTTTGGTCCTCAGTTTGCATGGTCTCCCCCGTTAGATTGTTAGCCCTTCAGAGCCAGGGACTGGGTTCCGTTTTGCTCTTCCTGCAATGCCCAGGAAAATGTTCTGCTCAAAGTGAGGCCTTTTGAGTGACTGAATGATTGGACAAGTATAACCTCCTAAGAGAACAAATTAAGAATTGGAGTCACTATAATTTAATCACAGCCATAACCTCTCCCTTCCATGGGCCAGGCACTGTGGTTGGAGCTGTAGGTCAATCACTTCTTTCATTCAGCACAACAATCCTCTGAGGGAAATACCCATTTTACAGATGAGGCACCTGCAAGCTGGTGCAGCAAGGGCAAGGGAAGCAAGGGCAAAAGAGACTCACTCTTGGTCACGCACATAGGAAGAAAAGGCATCAAGACTGGAGCCAGTTATGGGGCGCCTGGGTGGCTCAGTCGTTAAGCGTCTGCCTTCGGCTCAGGTCATGATCCCAGGGTCCTGGGATCGAGCCCCACATCGGGCTCCCTGCTCGGCGGGAAGCCTGCTTCTCCCTCTCCCACTCCCCCGCTTGTGTTCCCTCCCTCGCTGTGTCTCTCTCTGTCAAATAAATAAATAAAATCTTTTAAAAAAAGAAAAAAGACTTCTTAAAAAACAAAAAAGATTGGAGCCAATTTTTCCAACTCCAAGATCCATGCTCTTACTCACCTGTGGCCATCCCCTCCCATTCCCTCCAGACAGACAAGAGTTCTTCTCTCAAGAAACAAACCAGGCACAGATGTATCACGTCCATCATAGGGGCAACATGATGAATCAGAAGGAGCCCTGGAAGGACAACTCAGTTAATCTCCCAAATGATTCCTGTTTATGTAGACAGCGACCATGGCGGCTGCTCGACAAGATAGCTTTCGGACACCGCTGCCCTTGGTTCCTCGACAAAAGCAGAGAAGAGAAGAAACAGCCGGAAGCTCTGATCCGAAGCCTGAGAACAGCGTCTTCAAGCCACCCGGGGCCGGAAGCCTTTGGATAATGTCCACCCCATCCTGTTCAGCTTTTTTTGAGTAAGTAAACTACACAGAGGGAAGCACTGTTGAGTATTTCCTAGAGAGACTCTTTCTCTTGCAGAGGGAGGCCCATAGAGCAAGTAAAGAGAAGACGCTAACGGGAGAGAAGATTTGAGGGGATTAAAAGGATAGTGAGGGCGCGGTTCTCCACAATCTGACTCCAAGGACAGAGGAATGACGTTTGGCTGTCATTGCAAGAAGCTTCTGGTTGATAAATACTGTCTGGAATTTCCTTGCTGATTTCTCACCCTCACACCGCAGGCCCCATCCCTGTGGTCCACTGTGCAAATGCAAATTACCTGAATCAGGCTGCGGGTGACTCACCGACCCCCCCTTTAAAGCAACCTTGGGTCCGGGGCAGAGACTGTGCAGGGTGGAAGTCATGGCTCGCAGACTCTGCTTCTCCTACTGGCTGTTGGTCTGCTGGGTGGTGGTAACTGTGGCAGAAGGTAAGGGTTTTGTGTTTATGATCCTGTGGGTCCCTAATTAATAAGTTGTGTGAAAAGACAAGATTTGGCTCCATGACTATATCCATATCCATACATTGGAAATCATTTTGTCAGCTTCCATTAGCTTGTGTGATTAAAGGAGAAAGAAGCTAAAATTTATCATCTGAAGACCTTGATCCTACTCTCAGCCCTAACTATGTGACGTTAGACGTACTTAACCTTTCTGATATCAGTCCCCTTGTATGTGAAGTGACGGATAAGGATAATCATTATGGGGGTTATGAGGACCAAATGAGCTGTCATGCCAGAAAAGCTCTTCAAGCTTAAAACACTATACTAGTTATTACTGTTGTAGAGGTAACAATTTCCACCCTGAATTACAGCAACATCCTTCTTGTTATCCCCAGCAGCACCATAATTTACATATGGTGGCTGTTCAGTCTCTGTTTGTTAAGTGATTTAATTAATCGCAACTAGTCAGCTGAATCTTGGTGCTACTAAAGTGAGCATAGATTTCTTTCTCTAAGATTATATTAGATTCTATCTCTTCACTGCTCCTATTCTCTTTCCTTTCCCCCATGACAAAAATTCCCAGGTGTCCTGAACTTTAAAATTGGTCTGCAAACCCCTGGGGGAAGGAGAGAAAAGGCTAGGGAGGAGAGGATAACGAGGAAGGAGGGGAAAAATTGCTGGGGGACCTGGGTCTAATGTTTCACAGTTCACCTTAGTTCCAGAACTAGATACTGTTCAGGGAGGCAAGACCCAGGATCAGACCAAGTCCCTGAGGGCTCTGCAGGGGCTCAGCCAAACCCTACTCATCCCCCAACACGTTCTTTGCTCCCCTCCCCCAAGGCTGGGGGCGAGACCACCAGAGATCACCTTGCCCAACCTGTGCCCGAACTCTGGCGATCAGAGGGCGATCACACCGCCCTGTTCCCAAGACCAGACCCCCAAGCACCACCTGCGGAATGTGACATCTAAAAGAGGCTTCGTGGGGCGCCTGGGTGGCTCAGTTGGTTAAGCAACTGCCTTGGGCTCAGGTCATGATCCTGGAGTCCCTGGATCGAGTCCCGCATCGGGCTCCCTGCTCAGCAGGGAGTCTGCTTCTCCCTCTGACCCTCCCCCCTCTTGTGCTCTGTCTCTAAAATAAATAAATAAAATCTTTAAAAAAAAAATAAAAAATAAAAGAGGCTTCGTAAAATAGAACTAGCCACCTGACATCTTTCCAGAAAGTGAAGCACTCTTCAGGAACCTTTGCAAATATACAGCTGAACAAGTTCTAATGGCATTATGGGTTTGTTCGCATCTAAAAAGCACCAACTAAAAGGTGAGATTTGACTTCTGGATTTGGCTCATGCCTCCCCACCGTCCGGCAGACTGGCCTGGGAATCCTTCAAATGTAGCTTCGCTCTATCCAAGCAGCCTCGGTGCCAGTTCGCCGCTCACTTAGCCGGGCTGCGGCGCCGCCCGGTCGCGCCGTGTGCGGGTGTCCAGACTCGCCCTGTCGTCCTCTCCCTCCTCCACGGCGGCTGCGGCCGCTCCCTCTTGCGGCTCTCACCTGTTCGTTGCGATTCGGCTTCGTGTGCTGGCGTTTAAACGTCACGATGGTGTTGCCCTCGCAAAGACTTTCTTAAGCCACATAAATGAAACCTCGCAGTCTCTGTCCCTCTCTCTGTGACATCTGGGAGTTCTTACAGCCGCTTGTACATCATCCGTGACCCGTACCGCATTCTGCGCCGTAGCACAGACCCGTGTATCCGCCGCGTCTGCGCGCTTCTCGAGGCCGGCCTGGGTCTTTACCTACCGTCTCTGCATTTGCCATAGCACCTAGCACAGTAGCCTGCACGCTGGAGAAATGAGATGTGAGCACGGAACTGAAATCGTTCTTTCTCTGTAGAATTAGAGATTTGGCCAAAATAGCCAATCATTCTGTGAGTCTACAAAAGGAACTCAGTTGCAGTTATTGTGAGTAAATTCATCCTGGGAGCTATATTCCTTTCTGGTTCAACGCTGAAAGCCCATGAGAATTTTTCTACGATTCCATGAGCCATATAAAGGAAGAACTGCATACTCGAACATCATGTATAAAGATTACTTCTCTTAAAAATCAGTACTGTTCATTACAAACCATTTATTGTCTGCCCAAATAACCACAGACTACAGGTAATTGTGGTTTTTTTTAAAGAAAAGGAACTTCTCATCCTTACTTAAAAGAAAAAAAAAAGTATTAGCTATTGGTATGCTATGCATTTCATGTCTAGACTATAATAAACCCACTTAAAATTGATTTCCAAACTTCAAGCAATATTTTGGCTTGATTTTTTATTACACTCTAAGTTTAAATGTAAGTTATTATTGAAAATTTTCTGGGACTGGAATTAAGTACTCACTGAGCTTCACAAAAATCTACAGAGAGGAACCCTCAACATCTGCCTGCCCATTCATTCAATTTCTTGACTATGTCCTGAGCACCACTCTAAGCCAGGGACTGCTGTGGGTGCTAGGGACAGAGCCGTGACCAACAGAATCAACAGTCTCTGCTCTCATGCAGGTCCTGTTCTAATAACATCTGTAGGCTTTAGTCCTATCAGTAGTGTACAGATTTTATATATATAAAGTGTAACAAGATGGGCCCAAGAAAATGGGGCTTGTATTGATAGAATCTTTCCATAACATTCAAGATGAATAATAACACTAGGAAACACCTACTAAATGCACACCGTGAGTCAGACATGTTCTGAGCACTTTACATATCTTATTTCAGATAACACAAAAAGCCAATGAGATAGGGAGTATTATTTTCTTCATTTTATAAATAAGGATAAGGAAACTCAGAAAAGTTGAGGAACCTGTCAATGGTCACAGTTACTAAACGGCAGAGCTCAGGGAGCCCAGTTCTAGAGTCCATGCTTTTAAACACTATGCTCTTCTGCCGCTCAAAGTGTTTTCAATCTGCATGGAAATATTTGACCTACTTTGGTCTGATCAAGGTCGCAGAAGGGTTCTCATCTTTGGCGGCATGTCAGTATGCTACATATTGAAAAGCATTTATTTATAATGATCACATTATCCCTGAGAGGTGGAAAGACGGTAACTTTTGCAATTATAGAAACAGAGATTTCTCCCAATCAATTCAATTCCACTGCAGGCCCTAGAGATGAGGAGACAGCGGTCTACAGGATGGTCATGTGGATGTTTCAGTGGAGGAGGAATATAACCACGAATAGTAATGACATGACTGATGAGTATTCCAAAAGTGGACCCCCAGGGTGGTATGGAAATATACTGCCAAGGGCCTTAAGCCAGCCTCAGGGTAGGAAAGGCTTCCTGAGGAAATGAGGCATGAAATCTGTGTAGGAGTTAGCCAGGCAAAAAAGACAGGAAATGGTCCTTAGGCTTCTGGAACCAACTTGGTAAAAGCTCAGGACCATTGATGACTTTGCCAAGGTAGTTTTTGTGGAGTAGAGAAAGCACAGTCAGATTCCAGTAGATTAAATGTGGGGGGGAGGCATGAGAATTGAGCTGGAACTGTGTAGACTTCTCTCTGGAGAGAAATAGGAACCAAGGAAGTTCATTAGCAGATCACTGAAGTTTTCTTTCTGAAATATGAAGCTAGGTAGTCTACTTAGAAAGGTAGAGAGACTTTTGAAGAGAATTCTTCAAATGAATGAAGAAGAATGAGAATTTTGAAGAGGCTTTGAGGAGAATATCAAAGGTTTAGAAGACAGCGGGAATGGAGCAGAACAAGGAGAAACAAAGAATGGATGAGCAGTGTCAACTCAGCCAGAGTTGGAGACCATGAATGGCATCAACCTCCTTACCCAAATGTGTGGCCTTACCCTGTGACAATTTCCCAAATCAATCCCTGTGGTTCCCACATTTTACAACACTTGTGCTGGCCAATCAGTGACCTGAAATAGTCATCATGTGTCTAGTTCACCGGAAGAATGTAGTTTTATGTGGTCCTGCCCACATTCTTGGGTTGGTTACTGGGACAAGCTTGTATCTTGATCTGGAGACCTTGGAAATTCCCAGAAGGCTGAACACTGCAGGACATCCCAGAATTAGAGAAAAGCTGCCTAGCAGGTTCTAACACCCCGTAGTCAGCAGGAGGATTTGGTGAGTAGCCTCAGGTTTAAGAAATGAGATGAGCACAAGGGGTGGGTAGTTGGTTTGTTTTTAACATCTGGAATACAGCCTGAGTAGCAGAGCTCAGGCCTAGCTAAGTCTGATCTGATAACAAAAATGTCAAGATGGAGCTTAAGAATAAAGCTAGTTCGCTAAGGACTGGATTCTCATCTTACAGAGTTTTCATGTTACAAAGGTTCAGAACTGATCTGTGTAGGAGGAAAGAATGAGTGATGTGGGATTTAATCATCTTCTGTGGTTTGAAACGTCTTAATCTAGTTTTAATCATAGGATTTCAATACTCAGTAACCTGGGTGGGTATGGAAGAAAGGGTCAGTATTTCATTCAGAGTAGACACCCATTCAACTAACTTAAGAAAAGAGTAGAGTAGAGCTGGAGGTAGAGTGATTACTAAAAGGATATCTCCATGAACCTTGAGGACATCCAGGCTTCAGAGGGATCAGAATATATATATATATATTAGAATATATATATATATAAGAGAGACAAGAGACTATGTTACCACATAGTCTCTTGTCTCTCTTTTTCGGGCCTTCCCATGTTATAGCTTCTTTGGAAAGACTGGCTTCTCTACTTACTCGGCATTCAACTGGCCAAAACCTAATACTCCAGTCCCTGCCCTGCACTTTCTACTAACATCTTCCACCAACTGAGTCTCTGTTGAAATTCTCAAATGAGAATCTGATTGGTCACTGGTCAGCCAATGAATGAGCTGAGTGTCTATCAGCAGGCCAATCAGCCATAGCCAAGGATATGTAGGACCGACCTTTCCAGAGGTTGTGGGTAAAACAGAATCTCCAGAAGGAGCTATGAACACAAGCAGGCAATAGGCATATCCTATACAACCAAGAAATCTGGATTAGGTTGTTCCAAAATTAAAGGGAATCTAGCTCTTTTGAAGCACTTCAGTACTCTCAGCTTCCTGTAGGAGTTTGTTTTGTCATCGTTCACACTCAGCAGCCCATTCCAGGCCTGTATCGTAAGCCTCCAAGAAAATGAAGGAATAAGTTTCTGAAGGGAAGCTTACTATTTCACAGCCAAGTCAATTGCATGATATAGAGAAGGGTCTTCTCTCTAGAGAAGACCTTGAGACCTTGACACTTGAGCTTGATCCAAATCTCTTCTCAGAAACGAATTTCATCCTGGTTCTCAGTGCTTGTTCCCCTTCCTCTTTAGGGAATGATTTCACTGCTAGGTCCAGTGAAGCGCACCTTTGGGATTAACAGCCCTCAGGAAGGGCGGTTATTTTTATTTTCTTAACATTAACTCTTTTTCTCTACTGAATTTTCTTTATTCAGTTATAATTTATGAACAATAACATAGACAAATCTTAAAGGTACAGACTGATCACATTTTACATATACACATATATGTATGTTATATACGTACACGTGTGTAAATATAAATATGTGTGTGTGCATGTGAGTGTGTGTGTGTGTACCTCTGTATCCACGTGACAACCCTCTGGATCAAGATCTAAAGAATTCTACTTTTTCCACAAAATAAAACCTACCCTAACTGTAAATTAGTTACTTTTCTGCAATTTTTTTAACCGTAGATCAGTTTTTTCCTTGAACTTACGTAAGTGGGATCTTACAGTCTATACTCTTCTGTGTCTAACTCCTTCTGCTCAGCAGAACACCCATGGATGCCCCCGTGTTGTTGTAGTATCTCTTTCTTCTCGTGGCTTCCTTTTCATTGTGTATACACAATTTGGTTAACCATTCTCCTACTGATGGACACTTGCCCTGTTTCCAAGTTTAAGCTAATATGAATCGGGCTGCTATGAACATTCCTGAAGTAGTCTTTTGTAGATATATGCACCCGTTTCTCTTGGATACATTCCCCAGTGTGGGACTGCTGGGTCATGAGGTGTGTCATGTTTCATTCTGTTGGACCTTGGCGGTTTTTTCAAACACACTTTGAGACTTCTCTAGTTCTCTCTCCTAGTCTTTCTGCCCTGCTACCACCTAAAGGATTTCCCTTCTGCTTCTGTGATCAGGCCTGTTTCCTGACTTGCATGTTTCTCTCCGCAGGACAAAAAGAGGGAGCCACCCCTCCTGGAGGCTCACAAGATAATGGAGGTCCTACAGACTGCCAGATCTTTACGCTCAGCCCTCCACCCCCCAGGAAGAATCCAGTGACAAGGATCCAGCTTGTCACAAGGACACCCAAGTGTCCCTTTCATTTTTTTCCATGGCAAGGGCCTAGAGTCCACTTTAGGTTTCCACACAGACCTTTCCTTCCTCAGAAGTGCAACCACCGGTTTCTGTTTCGTCCATTTTTTTGGCCACACGGTCACCTTACTCCTCATTATAAATATTTTCCCAGGGGAAGACTCTGGAGAGGAAGCTCATCTGAGGAAAGCAGATAGAAAAGAGAAGCCCCAGGGGCGCCTGGGTGGCTCAGTCGTTAAGCGTCTGCCTTCTGCTCAGGTCATGATCCCAGCGTCCTGGGATCGAGTCCTACATAGGGCTCCCTGCTCGGCGGGAAGCCTGCTTCTCCCTCTCCCACTCCCCCTGCTTGTGTTCCTGCTCTCGCTGTCTCTGTCAAATAAATAAATAAAATCTTTAAAAAAAAAAAAGAAAAAAGAAAAGAGAAGCCCCAAATATGCTGAAGCAAAAGAAGCCAGTGCCTCAGAGAAGACTATAAACAGATTTCTGCTTTCTTCTTCCAAACTAAAACAACTGGACTTGAAGTACCTTAAACACCACAGACTAGAAATTGTTCTTCTTGTCAGCAGGGAAGATACCGGTTTAGAGGTTATTCAGGTTTGCAAAATGGGAGCAATAACTGCATTACCCTTATCCCCAACTTTTTAAGATCACAGGATATTGATGCAAATAAGATCCTAAAATGGGTAGTTCCAAGAATTCCTCTACATACTGAGATGCCAGAAGAATCAGCTGTCTTCTAAATTCAAGTGAAAAGCATTTAAATAAATTGATATAAACCAATGAAGACAATAATGACACCCTTTTTACTCACTGTAAATGCGCCCTGCTCTGTAAGTTTTCCAAAGTAAACTTTAAAGGAAATTGTAGAAAACTGATAGTTTTATTTTATTCTCTATTTGGCAATGGTGTAGCTGGTGGTTATTCATTTACTGTTTCACTGAGGTGTAACTGACATTACATTATATTAGTTTCAGATGTGCAATGTGATGATTCCACATTTGTATATATTGCAAAATAATCACCGCAATAAGTCCAGTTAGCAACCATTACCATACATAGTTACAATTTTTTTTCATGTGAGAACTTTCTAGATCCACTCAGTTTTCTTTTTTTTTAAGATTTTATTTTTTGACAGAGAGAGACAGCAAGAGAGGGAACACAGTGGGGGGAGTGGGAGAGGGAGAAGCAGGCTTCCCGCCGAGCAGGGAGCCCGATGTGGGGCTCGATCCCAGGACCCTGGGATCATGACCTGAGCCGAAGGCAGACACTTAACAACTGAGCCACCCAGGCGCCCCCCCACTCAGTTTTCTAACAACAACAACAACAACAAAAGAATTATAAACATTAAAGCAAAACAAACTTACAGGGAGTCTGAGAGAATACCTTGAAGATATCATAAACCAAACTACCTACCTTAAAAAACTATTTTTAACTGTAATATCTAAAGTTACTTTAATGGTGACTTTTTAAGCAACCCCCTCCTCTCTCACTGTTTCTCCCATTATCATCGTATGGATACTAGCTTAGATTACATAGTTCCCCTAAAACTTTCGACACGGGTCTAGGCCCAACAGTCTGATTAGAAGTTTACATGGATGTTTTGGTAACTCTAGAGCTCCACAGACGTAAGTTCACTCACCTATAGGAACCCAAGGGTGCAACAGAAAGAATAAATCCCACTGACTGCATTCGTTGGCTATCACTGTAGCCATTCCGTAAAATGCTGCCTCCTGCTTGTGCCGCTCCCCTTGCCTGTAACACAGAAACGGGGCTTTTGCGTATGGGGTCAGTGGTTACACCTGTCCCTCCCAGGTGCAAAAGTTGCTGCAGTGCAGGTACTTCGACAAAGGGAAAAAGGGGACACAAAGGCGTGAGGGCGCTGGGAGTGTTGCCTGGGGAATGGAGGGACCGAGAAAACCACCATGCTGTTCTGCTATATGAAAAAATAAAAAGGAAGAAAATAAATTATTTCCTTCACTCACTTCATAGCAAACTTGCTTATAAGGACAGATATTTGCTGCAAAATTACAGGCTTAAATAAAACCTGTATTTGAAATCCTTGCTAAAAAACTCGTATTTTGTAATGTATTTGCTCTCTCATTTGCTTTCTTTCTGATTAGTGGGGCATAACCAGAAAAGGACCAATCTAGGGGCACCTGGGAGGCTCAGTCGGTTGAGCATCCAACTCTTGATTTCGGCTCAGGTCATGATTTCGGGGTTGTGGGACTGAGCCCCAGGTCAGGCTCCACACTCAGCATGGAGTCTGCTTAAGATTCTTTCCCTCAGGGGCGCCTGGGTGGCTCAGTTGGTTGGGCGACTGCCTTCGGCTCAGGTCATGGTCCTGGAGTCCTGGGATCGAGTCCCGCATCGGGCTCCCTGCTCGGCGAGGAGCCTGCTTCTCCCTCTAACCCTCCCCCCTCTCAGGTACTCTCTAGCTCTCTCATTCTCGCTCTCTCAAATAAATAAATAAATCTTTAAAAAAAAAAAAAGATTCTTTCCCTCTCCCTCTGCCCCTCCCCCCACTTATGTGCAGGTGTGCTCGTTCTCTCAAATAAGTAAAATCTTTAAAAAAGAGAGGGAGGGAGGGAGGAGAGAAAGAAAGAAGGAAGGAAGGAAGGATGAAAAGGGCCAACCTTGGGCAAACTTGAAGACAGGGAAAGGCTCGTGTTTGAATCTCACCTCCCTTTCTGGACCCCTTCTCTTCCAGCATGCTCCCCACCTCCACCGCTCGCTGCTCACCTAGGCACTCCATGTGCTCACAGGGCCACCAGCTGCCCAAACGAATTTGCTTGGACGGGGCTTTCTCTCCCCAGACATTAGAACTTCTGCAATCCAAGACTCAACTACTCTGAAATGTAGTCCATGAAGACCTCATTGGTTGATAATATAAACCTCAGGAAACCAAGACAAACTGAAGCTTAGCAGCTTCAGTCCTTCACTCACTGCATCTGTTATAGAAAGCAGGCTGCTCCTGTAGGGTTTTGTAACAAGGACTGTTTTCAAAATAAGTCTGGGTATAATTGCATCATTCCTCACCCTTGAACATGCATAGAGTTGCCTATATGAGAAGTAGCCTACACCTGGAATTAAAAACACATGCCTCATGACTTTAAAAAAAAACGCATCCTTCTGCCTAATAAATTGTTCTTTAAAAATACAGTGATGGGGCGCCTGGGTGGCTCAGTTGGTTAAGCATCTGCCTTCAGCTCAGGTCATGATCCCAGGGTCCTGGAATAGAGTCCCTGCTTCAGGCTCCCTGCTCAGTAGGGAGTCTGCTTCTCCCACCCTCACTGACCCTCCCCCCATGCTCTTTTTCTCAAATAAATAAAAAAATCTTAAAAATATATATATATAGTGATGCCGGGGCATGGGCTCTGACCTCCACAGGGAGTATGCTTAGGATTTTCTCTTCCTCTCCCTCTGCCCCTCCTCCCACTCCCCCACTCCTTCCCCACCCCCAATAAATAAATAAATCTTTAAAAAAATAGTGATGCCTAGCAGGTGTATTGACTCAGGGGGAGAATACTCTTCATCACTAATACTTCAAAGTGATTTTATTTATCAGATATGTTCCTCTTCGGGGCACCTGGGTGGCTCAGTCGGTTAAGCGTCTGCCTTCGGCTCAGGTCATGATCCCGGAGTCCTGGGATCGAGTCCCACTTTGGACTCCCTGTTCAGCGGGGAGCCTGCTTCCCCACCTCCTCTGCTGCTCCCCTTGCTCGTGCTTGCTTGCTCTCTCTGTCAAATAAATAAATAAAATCTTTAAAAAATATATATGTTCCTCTTAGAATATAGGTGGTATTTGCTGCTTTTGAAGCAGTGGAAGGGTGTGATAACTGTTGCATGCATCTTTGCTTTGTGGTGTGAACAGCTATGCAAGTCTAAAGTTCCAATTATGCTAAAGAGGCATAACCTGAACCTAATCATCAGACAAACCCAGACTGAGGAACATTTACAAAACACCTGCTGTGTAATTGTTAAAAATGTAGATGTCATGGTAGACAAAGTTTAAAGGAGATTAAAGAGATATGAGGGGCACCTGGCTGGCTCAGTTGGCAGAGCATGTGACGCTGGATCTCACGGTAGTGAGTTCGAGCCCCATGTTGGGTGTAGAGGTTACTTACCTAAAATAAATAAACAAACAAACAAGATTAAAGAGACAAGATAATTATTTAATTATCTTTAATTAAACTTTAATTATTTAATTATTTAATTATCTTTAATTAAACATGTGGTCCTAGAAGTGGGAAGGAGAGGAGAGATTGCCAGAAAAGAAATTATTGGGAAAAATGGCACAATTTTAATGTGGACCATGTGTTAGGTAATAGCCTTTGTCAGTGTTAAATTTTCTGAATTTGACAATTATGTAAGAGAACATTCTTACATAAAAACATGAAGTATTTGAAGGTAAAGGAGTATGATTTCTGCAACTAAATCTCAAATTATTCAGGAGGCAGCCAAACCAGGAGAGGAAGAACACGCAGGCTGCATGGGGTTCGCTACTGAGTGATTGGTTTGTGGCACATTAAAACGCTGGGGTTTGCTAAGCTCCTGATTAACAATGGAAAATTTTCTGTTCTCTTTCAGAGAGCTGACTTATTTTATAAATGTTACCTTTTGGCATCCGGAAACTCACTCGAGGAGGCGTGTTAGTTTGCCAGCTCCACTATCACGAAATGCCACCGCCTGGGAGGCTTAAGCAACGTGAATTTACTTTCTCACCGTTCTGGAGGCTGGAAGGCCGGGATCAAGGTGCCAAGAGGATAGGCTTCCTCTGAGGCCTCTCTCCTCGGCTTGCAGATGGCTGCCCTCTGCTGTCTCTTCACATGGTCTTTCCTCATGCCTCGTGTCTTTCCCGTGTACGCAAATTTTCTCTTTTTTTTTTTTTTTTAAGATTTTATTTGTCAGAGAGAACAAATAAGCAGGGAAAGTGGCAGAGGCAGAGGGAGAAGCAGACTCCCCGCCAAGCAGAGAGCCCAATGTGGGGCTCGATCCCAGGACCCTGGGATCATGACCTGAGCCGAAGGCAGACGCTTAACTGACTGAGCCACCCAGGTGTCCCCAAATTTTCTCTTCTTAATAAGGATACCAATCAGATTGGATTGGGGCCCACTCTAAAGTCCTCATTTTAACTTAAATCACTTCTCTAAAGGCCCTATCTCCAAACAGAGTCACAGTCTGAGGTACTGGGGGTTAGCACTTCAACATATGAATGTCAGGGGATAAATTCAGCCCCTACAGGAGGTATCCAATTTTGATAACAGTTAACTACTAAACTCCCAGAACAGCTGCATGATCTAGAGAAAGCTGGCTTTGATTCTAAAGAGTATTACAATGCTCAAGCACTTTTAGACATAAAGAAAAAGAGAGAGAGAATCAGCACTTTCCTGTTTTAAGCACAGAGCATATATTTGACTTATTTTTATGATAAAATATAAGTAAATATCAGGTTCCTACTAGAACCTCCAACCTTGTTCTAAACAGCAGAGAGACGAAGGAACCCAGGACGGGAGGTCTGTTGCAAGAGGAGACACAGCTGAAGCAATGTACTGGGGCCGTAAGTTGTATAGACCTCAGCAAGTCCTAGGGTCAGCCAAGTAAATCCGCCGAGTCATCGTGAAAGAGCTCTAAACTGGAAGCACAAAGTCCATCCACAGTAGAATGGCTGGATAAATTGTTATTGTATTGTATACCGCACAGCAAGGCAAAACCATGGATTACGGCTTCACACAACAACATAAATGAATCTCACAAGTTCATGTTGAGTGAAAGAAGTCAAAGGTAAGAGGGAGCCTGCTGGGAGCTGGAAATATTCCAGGTCTGTACATTTATGAAGATTCATCAAGCTCTATGCTTAAGGTTTATGTATCTTACTATAGGTAAGTTATCACTTAAAAATCTTTAGTGCTGTAGTGTAAAGGAAATCTGTAAATATATGCTAATTATAATTGTAGATTTATCAAACAAGCATGCAAATATTCTATTGACTGGTAGTTGGCAAGGTTATATAAAATAATACTTAACTGATAAGTCAGACAAAGAAAGACAAATACTGGGGCGCCTGGGTGGCTCAGTCAGTTAAGCGTCTGCCTTCGGCTCAGATCATGATCCCAGGGTCCTGGGATCGAATCCCACATTGGGCTCCCTGCTCAGTGGGGAGCCTGCTTCTCCTTCTCCCTCTGCTGCTCCCCCTACTTGTGCTCTTCCTCTCTCTCTCTGTCAAATACATAAATAAAAATCTTCAAAAAAAAAAGACAAATACTGTATAATATCACTTATATGTGGAATCTAGAAAAGCTAAACTCTGAGACACGGAGAGTAGAGTGGTGGTTACCAGGGGCTGAGGGTAACCTGGGAAATGGGGAAATACTGGTCAAACTTACAGTCATAAGATTAATACGTTCTGAGCATCTAACATGCAGTATGGTGTTTATAGTTAATAATACTGTATTATAGACTTGAAAGTCGCCAAGAGAGTAGATCTTAAATAATCTCACCACGAAAACCGAACTGGTAATTATGTGACAGGATGGAGATGTTAACAAACACGACAGTGGTAATCATACCACAATATGTAAGTATGTCAAATCACCATGTTGTACACCTTAAATTTACACAGTGATAGATGTCAATTGTTTCTCAATAAATTGGGGGGGAGCAATATTTCACTGGAACATCAGCTCATAACAGTAAGCAGAAGACTGCATAGTATGTACCAATAAGCGTTTATCTTTCCCAGCTAAGGCAAATTTAAACCAGAGTAGTTTGAATAGCCTCAAATATAACCCTATACTTCATACAGTTGGTGAGCCAAAGAACGACACAAAGAGATTAATACACATTCCAAACAGAAAATATCTCTCACAATTTCAACATTGGAAATGTACAATAAGTGGGGCACCTGGGTGGCTCAGTCGTTAAGCGTCTGCTTTCGGCTCAGGTTATGATCCCGGGGTCCTGGGATCGAGCCCCGCATCGGGCTCCCTGCTCGGCGGGAAGCCTGCTTCTCCCTCTCCCACTCCCCCTGCTTGTGTTCTCACTCTTGCTGTCTCTCTCCATCAAATAAATAAAAATCTTTAAAAAAAGGAAATGTACGATAAGCATTATTACTACGACAGTAGCAGTTCAATGATTTGTACAGAAGGAACCATAACAAAGTGTTAGATCTGAAACCCCCTGACACAGATGTCAGGTCCTTACAGTGACCTACGTATGACCTGGCCTCCCCCTCCCCATCCTCAGGCCCTCTCGCTCTGACCTCATCTCCTACTATTCTCTTCCTTTCTCACTCCACTCAGACACACAGCATTCCTCGCCGATCCTCAAACAAACCAAACACACTCCCTCCTCAGGGTTCTACGCTTGCTGGTGCCTCCTTCGGCAATGCCCCAGATATCCGCATTCTCCACCGGGGTCCTTCCCTCACTTCTTTCAGGACATTCATAAAATACCACCTCTCCTTTCCCTGGCAACCCAATCTAAATATGCAGGCACAGATGCTCTTCCTCACCCAGTTCCCAGCTGTGTTTCTATCCCTAGCATGTATCACATTCAATTACTCTAAATGTATTCCTAGTTATCTTTTTATTATTTGTCTTTCATATCAGAAAATAAGTTCCTTAAAGGCAGTGATTTGTACCTATTGCGTTCACTCCCTTATGTCCAGGACTTAAAACAATACCTGCATATAGTAGGGACGCAATAAATATTTGTTAATGAACTTTTAAACTTCCTGATATTCAACCCCTAATTGCTTCCAAATCAGTTTCCACATATCAGGAGAACCTCAGGATTTTAAAATCTCTAGAAAAAAGGAATTCCTATTGAGGAGCAGAAAATAAGGCACATACATTCCTCTCAAAAAAAAAAAAATTACTGCCACCCATGCATATCTTTGACCTTCTTTTAGGAATTTTAACATGAATATTCCTCTGTTTCACTGCATATAACATTTCTCTCTTTTGGTAGTTTGCTCGAGAACAGGTCGGAATGGCAACCAGAGATAGAGAATCCACCAATTTAATTGCTCACTCATTTTGTAATTTTTTTCAGGCTTTTACTAGCAACATCTATATCTTAAAAAAAAAAAAAAATCTGAGTCCAGTCCTCTTTGTAAAGTTTTCCTCCATGCTAAGGCAAGACATATAGGTTTCCTGGGAGGACTAATTATCTGAGATGTCTCTTCAAACTGTTATTCTTTAAATCTCTGTTCACCAGGCAAGAGAAACTGATTTTCTGGCAACAAAATTAATAACACATCTTCGTTCATGTTCTAAACAGAAGGCTTATTACATGTTCTGTACATAGTAAATTCTTTAATTTCTTTAGAAAGGTCTTTTAGAGGCGAGGGGGTGGGGGGGAAGGGTGAGCCTGGTGATGGGTATTGAGGAGGGCACGTTCTGCATGGAGCACTGGGTGTTATACGCAAACAATGAATCATGGAATGCTACATCAAAAACTAACGATGTACTGTATGGTGACTAACATAACGTAATAAAATAAAAAATAATAAATAAAATTATTATCATAAAAAAAATTTCCTTCACTTGCCAACCTTCATTCAGAATAGAGGTAGAGTTCATACAGTAATTATAATAAAATTGTGTTCAAAATGTGTTTGAAAGTTCCGCTCCCATATTGGCAAAGCATTTCTTGTTTTCTATAGTTCCTTTTCAGTTTTGCTCGGTGATACTTTTCTCAAATCATCATGTGGAGAAGTACATTAAGGGCTTGAGTTTTAGAGACAAAATGGATCGCTTATTTCCCCTCAACAACATGCTCTACGCTATTTCAAATTCCGAGTTCCGGTGGACTGCCGGCCGACGTCCACATACCAGCCCGCGGACACCAAGGTCGCAAGTGCCTGGGCTGTCCCAGGCAAACGGCCCAGGCCACACGCCAACAGAAACAGCCAGTGTCAGCGCAGACCGTCAAACTTCCATTCATCGTGAGCATCGGCTTACATTCTGCTGCTTGTACAGAAACCGCACGCGAGAATCATGCTTCCAGTGACTCACAAAATGTCCCGAGCCCTCTTTGGATTAGCACTCTTGGAAGGGGCCGGATCGGAACCTCCTGCAGCTCTGCTTTTGCTCTTCTGCTCACATTGCATCACCGCGAGGCAAACTTCCTTTCATAATTCTCCAACTACCTTTTCTTTTACTCGGGATTGTCGGTGAAGTCCCCAAGCTTTCCCCACCCAACCCGGACTCCCGCCAGCCTAGCCCTCCTCCAGCCACCGCTTCTGCCTTCTGACCTCTGAGTCACTAGCCACCTGACCTCAAGGCAGCGCGGACGCAATCTCAGAGACCAGGGCCATCTGCGCAGGTCCCTTCTGCTCCCCTGGTGCTTCTTAAACCCCTGGGACGGGATCCACCGGAGTGTTTAACTATCAATGTCCACTAGAGGGCGCCACTCCGCGGGTTGTACCCTGTGACGGACCTTGGATCACAGTTCTCCCTTGCCACCCCTTCGGTTCAAATAGATTAGGAACTCATCAACACTGAGCCCTTAAAATGGAAAAAGACCATGGGCAGAAGGAGCGGATCATACCCCTCAGGTGAAGTTCATCTCTGGTTTTAGTACTTTGGCCCTTGTGGAGGAGATGGCTTACAGGGCGTGCTGAGTACAGTGAGTGGGGCTTTACTGCCACCTCCTGGATCATGGCGTGGCAGCACTGGGCTACCCGGGGCAGAGCCAAAGGAGTGGGCTGTCATCTTAGTGACAAGGATTTAAAGCCAACTGTAGCAACCCCCAAGCTCAGAATTTTCACAATTCTTAAATAATTCCTGTCCGCCCAAACAGAACTGACTTCTCCTTCAACCTCTACCCGAGAAGGGAGAAGTGCTTATCTCTTACCGATTTATTTTTTCTCAGAACCCAGCAAAAGAATGAGAACATGACCACCTTATTTAAAAAGACAAGTGTATTTAAAAATACTTTCTGCTGGCTAGCACTGTGGAAGACAAGCATGGCGGTTCCTCAAAAAATTAAAAAGAACTACCATGGGCGCCTGGGTGGCTCAGTTGGTTAAGCGACTGCCTTCGGCTCAGGTCATGATCCTGGAGTCCCTGGATCGAGTCCCGCATCGGGCTCCCTGCTAGGCAGGGAGTCTGCTTCTTCCTCTGACCCTCCCCCCTCTCATGTGCTCTCTCTCATTCTCTCTCTCTCAAATAAATAAATAAAATCTTAAAAAAAAAAAGAGAGAGAGAACTACCATATGATCCAGTAATTCCACTACTGGATATTTACCCAAAAAATACAAAAACACTAATTCAAAGGGATACATGCACCCCAATGTTTATTGCAAGCATTATTTATTTACAATAGCCAAATTATGGAAGCAACTTAAGTGTCCATCAATAAATGAATAGATAAAGAAGATATGGTGTATATATACATAATGGAATATTATTCAGCCATAAAAAGAATGAAATCTTGCAGGGGTGCCTGGGTGACTCAGTCGATGGGCGTCTACCTCCGGCTCAGGTCATGGTCCCAAGCTCCTGGGATCCAGCCCCGTATTGGGCTCCCTGCTTGGTGAGCCTGCTTCTCCCTTTCCCTCTGCTGCTCCCCCCGCTTGTGTGCTCTCTCTCTCTCTGTCTGTCAAATAAATAAATAAAATCTTTAAAAAAAAAAAAAGAATGAAATCTTGCCATTTGCAACAACATGGATGGATCTAGAGAGTAGCATTAGCTAAGCGAAATAAGCCAGTCAGAGAAAGACAAATACCATACGCTTTCACTCATATGTGGAATTAAAAAAAAACAAAACAAATGAACGGAGAGGGGAGAAACAAACCAAAAAACAGACCCTAAAATAGAGAACCAACAGAGGATTGCTAGAAGGGAAGGGGGAGGGTGGATGAAATAGATAAAGGGGATTAAGAGTGCACTTACCTTGATGAGCACTGAGTAATACATAGAAGTGCTGAATCACTATATTGTACACCTGAAATGAATATAACACTGTATGGTAACTACATGGAATTAAAATAACATTTAAAAAATAAACAAATACATTCTGCTGGCTGGGTTACATTTCCCAGTACAAAATAATTTTGATCTAAAATATAGCTTGAGGGGCACCTGGGTGGCTCAGTCCGTTGAGCATCTGACTTGATTTCAGCTTAGGTCATGATCTCGGGGTCTGGGGATCAAGTCCTGTGTTGGGCTCCCCACTCGGCTCAGAGTCTGCTTGCCCCTGTCCTTCTGCTCCTACCCCTGCTCTCTCTCTCTCAAATAAATAAATATAAAATATAGCTTGAGCCAAATTATATTATCTAAATCTGGTGCTTGCCTTTGTTTTCAGTAGATAGGAAAAACATTTATAAAGGAAAATCTCCAAAACTCAAGCTATAATCTACCTTCTTTTAAAGACCTTTAATATCTTTCATTTACAGGAGGAACCCAAATGACTGATAAATATAAAAGAAAAAATACATAAAAATACATGTAACTGGGGTGCCTGGGTGGCTCAGTCGCTTAGGCGTCTGCCTTCAGCTCAGGTCATGATCCCAGGGTTCTGGGATCGAGCCCACATCGGGCTCCTGGCTCAGTGGAGAGTCTGCTTCTCCCTCTGCCCCTCCCCCTGCTTGTGCGCTTGCTTTCTCACTCTCTCTCTGTCAAATAAATAAATAAAATCTTAAAAAAAAAAATACATGTAACTTCAGTAGTAAACAAGAAAATGTAAACTAAAGCAAGATAATTTTCACCCATCAGACTGGTCAAAATGGAATTATTAGTAATATCTAATATGGTCTGGGTGTGGGGAAATAGATTTTCTTACACACTGTGGGTATAAATATACACTGGTACAGCATTTTTGGAATACAGTTTGGCAGAATCAGTCAAAATCTAAAGTGAAGCATACCTGGGGCACCTGGGTGGCTCAATGGGTTAAGCGTCTGACTCTTGGTTTTGGCTCAGGTCTTGATCTCCGGTCATGAGATCGAGCCCTGTGTTGGGCTCCGTGCATAGCAGGAGTCTGCTTGGATATTCTCTTCCTCTGCCCCTTCCCCTACTTGTGCTCTCTCTCTAAAATAAATAAATAAATCTTCAAAAAATAAAAATAAAGCATGCCTGGGTGGTTCAGTCAGTTGAGCTGCCTTTGGCTCAGGTCGTGATCCAGGGGTCCTGGGATGGAGCCCCACGTTGGGCTCCCTGCTCAGTGGGGAGTCTGCTTCTCCCTCTACCCTTCCTCCCTGGTGGTGATCTCTCTCCCTCCCACACTCAAATAAATGAATAAAATCTTTAAAAATAATTAAAATAATTAAAATAAAATGAAGCATAACTTTTGCCACTTCAACTGTCCATCTCTGGTGAGCATTGTGATTTTTTTCTCCAGCATCCTTTCCACATATATTTCCCTAGCTTTGTAGAAGCCAGGTGGTACCACAGGTAAACTTCATTGGCCTAAACCAATCAGCACCATCCTGTTTCCTTTTGCTCCCATTATTAATTCCGACAAAGGAATTTAACAAAGGCCCAAGCCAATAAGTACATACCATTCCCTTGGCTACAGTGCTTGATTCACAGTGAGCAATATCCAAATTCAGCTTAGGATGAAGTGAAGTTTTGTCTGAAGGCTAGAGAAACACACGTCCTCCTCCATAAGTGAATGAAGAAGCACGTGGCTCCGGGAGTCAAATCTCCCAAACTGTATATTATCTAAACAAAAATTTAAAAATTCATTCCAGATCTAAAGAATCATACTCCTGTACTTAACAAACACATATGTCTCTACCATTTATTGAGTGATGCTGCGCACGTTCCTTAAACCTCCTAAGCCAAGTACCTTGCCTATAAAATATGATTTACATTCTTTCCTTTGTAGGATTATTATTACTATTGTCACAAAGAAATCACTGTGTTAGGGGCACCTGGATGGCTCAGACAGAAAAGCATGTGACTCCTGATCTTGGGGTTGTGAGTTTGAGCCCTATGTTGAGTGTAGAGATTACTTAAAGAAGGGGTGGGAGGAGAGGAGGGAGGAGGAGGAGGAGGGAGGAGAAGAAATCAATGTGTGAGATGGTGTGGAACTGAAATAGATAAATAACTTATGATTCCCAATCTTTAGAGACACAGACAATTTAGTGGGGGTGGTGACACTGGATTATTGTTCTTGCCCATGTGACTTCAGAATCAGGGCCTGACTCTTCTGGAGGGTCTAGGAACAACTTAATTAACAGCTTTTCTACTAAAAAATATATATAGTGGGGGCAGGAGGAGGACAGATAGTAGGTATACATGTAAGCAAAAGGAATGATGATCCAAGGAAGAGGCTAAAAACACGTTGGGGAGGGAAGTGGCCAATTAGAACACTATTGTCATGGGGTGGAGGGAGAGTTTTCAATTCTAGCAGCTACATTAATAGAGATCATTTTCTAGATCTAGAGACATGGAGATAGCCAAATGGAAATTAACTGACAAAAAAACCTAATGCTCTTGACTGATAGGAGATCCTCGCATGAACTAGGGACAGAAAAACATGCTGAATTAAGATATTTTTGTTTCGTTTCCCTTATTCTTTCTTATTTTAATTCATGTTAACCAATAATACATTTTCTAAAATTTTGCTAGAACCTTCCTCACTTCTACAGGAGATGACCCTGCATGCCAAAGTAGAACATAAAGGATTGAATGAGACTATGCAATGGGGGGGAAATAAAATTTCACTGAAAGCAAAAGAAAATGATATTTTGTGGATGGGCTGGTAGGGAAAATTTTCTCAGTGTTTATACATTCAACATTAGATATCCACAAACATCGATAAACACAAAGCTCTAAATCACAAGTTACTTACAAGTGTTGGGGCGCCTGGGTGGCTCAGTCGTTAAGCGCCTGCCTTCAGCTCAGGTCATGATCCCAGCGTTCTGGGATAGAGCCCCTCATCAGGCTCCCCGCTCGGCGGGAAGCCTGCCTCTCCCCCCTCCACTCCCCCTGCCTGTGCTCCTCTCTCACTGTGTCTCTCTCTGTCAAATAAATAGATAAAATCTAAAAAAAAAAAAAAAAACAAGTGCTGACAAGTGATGTCAAGGTTTGTGGTAAGATACTTCTCCAAAGGACATGTTAAGAAACAAAATGTATGTTAACTACAGTTTAAATTTTTCTCATGTCTGAAGCTATCAAGAGGAAAAATAAGGCCCTCAAAAAGCAGTGAATGAAAAACATAATTTTTCATTCACATAGAGGAGTGTTAAGAGTCCATTACTAATGTAAAAACACAACACAAAACAATAAAGAAAAATCCATTTAGTCCAATTAATGAGGACCAGCCTTAAAGCCTTAGGAGCAGTGACCCTGCTGTTTCTAATTCCCTGCCAGTGGTTCATTTATATTGAGGAGGGCTTAGAAAACAAGTCAATCACATTTTTCAGTCTAGTCTGATTCAGAGTTCACTACAGATTGAGACTTCTACTGTCGCACAACTCAGATAAAAGAACCAATAATGAGCAGCGCCGGGGTGGCTCAGTTGTTAAGCGTCTGCCTTCGGCCCAGGTCATGATCCCGGGGTCCTGGGACCGAGTCCCACATCGGGCTCCCTGCTCCCCGGGAAGCCTGCTTCTCCCTCTCCCATTCCCCCTGCTTGTGTTCCCTCTCTTGCTGTGTCTCTCTCTGTCAAATAAATAAAATCTTTAAAAAAAAAAAAAAAAAGAACCAATAATGAGAGAGTCACATAAGGAAACCCATCTTCTTTGTTTCCATTTCAATAGGAAGTCAGCTATTCCAAACAAGCAAGGGATTCTCAGTCAGGAGACCCAAGTTCTAAGCCTCAGTCTGTCACAACTTTGACCAGGTAGTCTTTACAAGACATGTTTCTTTATGACCACGCTGCTTGTATCATGTGCTGTACAGGAAAATTAACTCAGCAACACCCCCAAAACAAATAATCTGATTAAAATGAGAAGACATGAACAGACATTTCTCCAAAGAAGACATCCAGATGGCCAACAGACACATGAAAAGATACTCAACATCACTCATCATCAGGGAAATGCAAATCAAAACTACAACAAGATATCACCTCAAACATATCGGCAAAGATATGGAGAAGGAACCCTCATGCACTGTTGGTGGGAATGCAAACTGATGTAGCCACTGTGGAAAACAGTATGAAGTTTCCTCAGAAAATTAAACCCAGAACTACCATATGATCCAGTAATTCCACTACTGGATAGTGGAATACAAATATACTAATTGTATTGAATACAATACAAAGAATACAAAAATACTAATTCAAAAAGATACATGCGCCCCTTTGTTTATAGCAGCATTATTTACAATAGCCAAATTATGGAAGCAGCACAAGTGTCCATCTATAGATGAATGGGTAAAGAAGTGGTATATATATATACAAATGGAATATTATTCAGCCATTAAAAAGAATGAAATCTTGCCATTTGTAACAACATGGATGGATCTAGAGAGTAGCATTAGCTAAGAGAAATAAGCCAGTCAGAGACAAATACCATATGATTTCACTCATGTGGAATTTAAGAAACAGAACAAACAAACAAAGGGGAAAAAAAGACAAGCCAAAAAAAACCCCTTTTTTTTTAAAGATTTTTTTATTTATTTATTTGAGAGAGCGAGAATGAGAGAGAGAGAGCATATGAGAGGGAGGAGGGTCAGAGGGAGAAGCAGACTCCCTGCTGAGCAGGGAGCCCAATGCAGGACTCGATCCCGGGACTCCAGGATCATGACCTGAGCCGAAGGCAGTCGCTTAACCAACTGAGCCACCCAGGCGCCCAAAACCCCCCCTTTTTTTTTAAAGGTTTTATTTATTTGTTAGAGAGAGAGAGAGAACAGGTGGGAGGAGGGGCAGGAGAGGGTGAAGTAGACTTCCCACTAAGCAGGGAGCCTGATATGGGGCTCGATCCCAGGATCCCGAGATCATGACCTGAGCCGAAAGCAGACGCTTAACCGAATGAGCCACGCTGGTGCCTCAAAACAGACCCTTAAATAGAGAGCAAATAGAGGGTTACCAGAGGGGAGGTAGGTGGGAGGATGGGAGAAATAGGTGACGGGGATTAAGAGTACACTTACCATGTACTGAGTAATGTATAGAATTGTTGAATCACTATATTGTACACCTGAAACTAACATAACACTATGTTAACTATACTGGAATTAAAATTAAAAACTTAATTTAAAAAAAGACAACTTGCCACCCCTGTATCCAGAGTTTCCAAAAAAGAATTAACAGATTATTTCAAATTTATTTGTTGAATTCCATACAATGTTGTATACATTATTTGTATGCTCTTAAATAAATGCAAATAAAACCATCTGTGGAGCTCAGTAAGATATAATATTTATTAATTGTAAAACATACATCCACACAGCAAGCCCATTTCTCTCCACGAGGACATACACATATTTCCTATTAGGTTTAATTGCATCCTTGTAAGGAGAGCAAAGTAATCTTAAACTGAAAGAATTATTTTTGGTTCAGTATCTATAGCTCCAGTTTGCAAAATCTTCTTTTTCAAGTAGTTCTGCCAAGGTTCTAACCACATATGATCCTCCAGTCTCAGCTTGCACTTACAGTAAATTATATTTAGTTCCTTAATTCTAAAGTTCACGAACTGTTTTCATAGACAAAAGATACCAAAAGCAAATATAGAAATGAAAAAGTAATTGATCTTAGATCCTCAGACATTGAGGTGATATGGTCATACTGATCTTTAAATAAAAATAACACCAAAATAAGCTGGAAAGCCACTTGGCTTTTAAGTATTGTCTGCTTCCCACACTGTACAGTCTGTTGGCAATACTTTTTAAAGTAAAAATAAAACAATATCTCAGTGTGAAGCCTATTCATGCCTACACATTAATTTTGTCTACCATGTTAGTCATACCAATCTAGTCAAACACCTGGTCAGAGGTTAAAAATAGAGCTTCAAAATCAAGACCGAATTTTAATTGAACCACCTATAGACTTCTACTTTGGAATCCCTCAATTGGCCTCCTCCTGAATGTCCTGCTCTTCTGAGGACCAAGTATCTAAAGTCAGAATTTCAATATTAAGCTCCGCAGAGTAAGAGAGAAAAGTGCTAGTTAAATTCTTGGGCTAAGTACTAATCAGTGCCTTTTGGAAAAAAACAACACATTGTCAACTGGTTAAGGCAAAAATCCCACACAAATTCTGGTCCCCTTAACAACCATTCTCTAAAACAATAAATGCCAAGTATGACCAGCACACTAGAAATCAAAAACCTAGAGCCAAACTGGCTTAAGCTTCCCACCTGAAAGTCGTGGACTGGGGCACGAGAAAAGATGTGTGGACTGTAGGTAGACAGTTTTGCCTGTTGATGAAGAACTTTCGGGAAGGCCTAAGGGTTTGAGGAAACGAGAAGACGGGAACCCCTCTGGGTGCTGTCTGCTATCACCTTCAAACTATCAGCAGACAGGAGTGAAGTCCATAACAGAGGACATTTCCTTCCCAAAGCCTCTTCAGAGTGGAGTTCAACAGTAATTGGCCAAGAGAAAAGTAATCAGTCCAAGTCAGTCGGTAAGCCAGCTTCCCATCTCCTAATTCTGTATGTATATACTTCCTTTCTCAATGACAAGCATAGTCCTCAACTCGAAAGATTACCTACAAAATTCTCCTTTACCATTCTTAGTTCAATCCTGTTCCTGCATGCAGGAACACTGGCACCAGAATCTTACAATAAAGAAGACTATCTAAGGTCAGAGTCACACTAAATCATTAGACATAAAAGGTTTCTTTGAGAAATTTGCATCAGTGTGGTTCTTAGAAAATCAGCAGAGAGGTCAGATTCCCATAATATAATGATCAAACATCAACAATAATCACAGAAACCAAAGACATATGTCTATCTATAGAGAGCAATTACATATCTCCTTAAAGCCTAGAAACAAGCAAGCTTTTTAAATGTATATTTATAGTTAAATTAGGGTAAAGGAAACATTTTCTCTTACTGATCCTAATTTTTTCATTTCTTCAACAGATCCTAGTTGTTATCACCTCCTCCACCAAACCCATTCCTAAATAAATGTACACGTTTATACAGATAACACAGAAAGTTCATATAACATGACCATTATAATGTTTCTTTGTCCCTTTTTAAACTCATTTTTAATCTTGGGTAATTTTAAATGCACAATCTACTAATAGTAAATACACATTCATGTAACAAGAACCATATCACTATTCTTCCATCGGATATATCTTGAAATAGCAACAGTGGACTTGAAAGGTGACAGGATATCAGTCGGGGAGGGGCTTCCTGGGAAACACTTGGAAGTCTTTGTCTTTTTTCTTCTGCAAGGCCTTTCTCAGAAAATGCAGGCAGTTCCGAAGTAAAGGACAAACCCACGAATCTCTCTTTGTAGGATATCAGCACTTTTGTGGCAAGACGATGTCATCTCAAGGGCTAAAGCAGCATCTAAAATCACAGGGGGACATATGCCCAAATGGTCTACATAAAATCTTCCTAGAAATGGATTTCTATCTCACTTGCTTCCTCACATTGAATATATTTGTAATATTGTAAGTATTACACAGTCTAAGAAAACTTTAGACCATATATATCAAAAACAAGATTTTAAAGGCAATCTTTAGGACAATTATCAACCGAAACTGTCATGTATAGCATACCATCTCCTTGTATGTAAATAATGACTAGTTTTGACAACATAGATCCAAGTTTCATAGGGGCACAGTTTATAGAGTATGTGTAATGAGTGCATTGCAAAGACTTCTCCCAGGGCCTGGGAAGGGACCCATACCAGCGAGGAACTGAAACTTAAGACTTGTTCACTTCACAGTAAATTCACATATGATGTCACAGACGTTCCAAAGGCTTTGTGGAGGTTAACAGATTAATTCCAACAACACATTTATGAGAATGTGGGATTTTATTATCATCACATTTTACAGAGTTAATAAGATACTAAACATTGGATGACTTGTCACATAGTAAATTACCACTCAAAAGGTCCGATTTTTGTTTTTCGGTTTTTTAGTACTAAACAGTTATACTTAAAAGGAAGGCAATCCTGTTACCATTTAAAATTGACATTTAATTTTTCAAATCACTGTTGGTGTCTAGTCACTTATTAATTTATTCTGTTTTCTTTAAAAAAACATGTGTGACATGTGTTTATCCTGCGAGTAGGTCCACAGTGGGGTGGGAAAGTGTTCCAGTGGGCCCTGTTTTCACTGTGGTGACACATGGTAAAGCCTGGAGCTTGCGGGGCCCTTTTTACTGTGGTGTTGGAGCAGGACAATGATAAAGTCCATTAGAAGCAAAAAATAAAAATAAATAAAAGGAAGGCAATCATCTAGTATAGTGCTGATCCTTCTTTATTGGGAAAAAGATTACCAAGCAATCATTTTGTCTTTCTTGCTTTAAAAGCCCAAAGGGGGGGGGGGCGCCTGGGTGGCTCAGTTGGTTAAGCGACTGCCTTCGGCTCAGGTCATGATCCTGGAGTCCCTGGATCGAGTCCCGCATCGGGCTCCCTGCTCAGCAAGGAACCTGCTTCTCCCTCTGACCCTCCCACCTCTCATGTGCTCGCTCTCTCTCGTTCTCTCTGTCTCAAATAAAAAAAAATAAAAATAAAAAAATAAAAGCCCAAAGGGACAAATGACTGATAATGGAGATAAGTATATATCCTTCCACAGCACTTGTCACTGTAAATTCACATTACTGTAGCCAATAAAATACAGGAGATTAGTTTAAGAGCAAGAGATGCAAGCTCTATGAAAAGGGATTTCATCCCAGAGACAAATGCCACTTCTGGTTTTTTTTAAGTGGCACATCTCTTTCTCTATCAGGAGTTCTCATGGAATCAATCACTGGAGAATACTTTAGCTGCAGAATTTGAACTTCAGCAAGCTATAAAATATTTCCCATGGAGGGTTACTTTGCTTTAAGTATGAGAAACCAGACATACCCAGTTCAGAACCAAAATGATTCTCAGTGCTGGTGTTCCATTCGACGCAAATCAGCCTCCGAATCATCTGACAGGGGAGATCCTGATACCTATAAGTTAATAATCAAGCATTACAGATTCTCAATAATTATGAAAGTCCCAATCCTCCCCAAATCCAAATTCTTGTTGTTCAAATATCAGATGTTTAGAATTAACTACTCATAGCTCAAGTTGTTGGCACAGAAGAGGATGATGAAGTAAAGAGATGTTATTCTTTGACCTCTTTGTTGATACATATGTTACAAGATACTTCTGACGTGCAGAGGTAGTACAAACCTGCTGCAACCCATCTCTCCTACTTACCGAACAAATAAAACCCTTTAAGAAAAATATAAAAAACAACTGAAGATTAAGGAGAGGAGTCAAAAGTTGGTAATGTGGTCCTTCACATGGGGGTCAGTTTCCAATTTTGTCTGTTTTTCACTCCTATGCCTTTGCCCAAAAAGCAGGCCCTAGTCTCAGAGTAATGAAGAAGTACAAGAGGCCAAAAGTCTGAAAGAAACTCCCTTGTTATCCCAGAGAAACCAGGAAAAAGGGTCCCTGCAAGCCAGGAAGTATGGGGGGAGAGGGATGGTCCTGGAAGGAAGAGAATTAGAGGAGGGGACCCTCTAATTCTGTGTATAGACCCACAGGAGTCTCAGCCCAGTTCCTGAAGCATGTATGCATGGGATAGCCCCACCAGCACAGCAAAGGCTTGGGAGGACTGAACTGAGATTTGAATTACCTTCACAAGCCTCTAGCTAACCCCGGAGCCACATAAGCACAGGACAGATGCAAACTAGGATATCAAAGACTTAGAGAACTGAGGTTTGAAACACTTCTCACAGGAGATAAGGCAGAATTTATAGGGTGAACAAAACTTGGATGACTGCCTGCTAAAACAAAAATTTCAATATTCTCCAGAAGATTATAAATGATTAGAACAGGACCCAGAGACTACACAACATAACATTCACGGTTTCCAAGATACAATCAAAATTATTGGCCATAAAAAGATCCAGCGGGGCACCAGGGTAGCTCAGTCGGTTAAGCATCTGCCCTCGGCTCAGGTCATGATCCCAGGGCTCAGGGATCAAGCCACTCATCGGGCTCCCTGCTAAGCCAGGAGCCTGCTTCTCTCTCTCCCTCTGCCTGCTGCTCCCCCTGCTTGTGTGCTCTCTCTCTCTCTCTGTGTAAGATAAATAAATAAAATCTTAAAAAAAAAAAAAAAAAAAATCCAGGCATGTGTGATCAATTCTCAAGGGAAAAGGCAATCAACAGATACCAATCCTGAAATGGCCCAGATGTTGGGACTTTATAAACTTAGATAAGTTATATAGATAGATAGGGAGAGAGAGAGAGAGAGAGACTTTAAAGAAGTAATATAACTATGTTACATGAGGTAAAGGAAAACAAACTTGAAATGAATGAAGAAACAGGAATTCCTAGCAGAGAAATACAAGCCCAAAAAAAGAACCAAGTAGACTTTTAGGACTTAAAAATATAGTATCTGAAATTTTAAAACCTCTCTGGACGGGCTTAAATAGCAGAATGAAAATGACAAAGTGAAGAGTCAAAGAACTTGAAGATAAATCAATAGAAACTACCCAATCTGAACAGCAGAGATTAAAAAAAAAAAAAAAAAAGATGAAGGAAAGCAGAGTCTCAGGAACCTGTAGAAAATACCAAAAGGTCTCATATCTATGTCATTGGACTCTCAGAAAAAAAAGAGACAGAAAGATTATGGCACAAAAAAATATTTGAAGAAATAATGACCAAAAACTTCCCAAATTTGGTAAAAGAGGTAAGTTTATAAATCAAGAAGCTCAGCAAATGCCAAACAGTATACATTCAACGAAAACTATGCTTAGATGCATCATATCCAAGCTAATGAACATAAAAAGATAAAGATAAAATCTTGAAAACAGCTAGACAAAAATGAAACATTACATACAGGTGAAAAATTCAAATGCCTAAAAATGTCCCACCAGAAATCAGAGAGATCATAAGATAAAGGAATGATGTCTCGTAGTCCTGGAAGAAAAATTTTTAAAAAGCAACCTACCAACTCAAATTCTTTATCCATTGAAAATATATTTAAGGAATGAAGGCAAAATAAAGTTATTATCAAATGAAGTAAAACTAAAAGAGTTTGTCACTCATCAGACCTGCTCTGGAAGGAATGCTAAAGAAAGTTTTTCAAGCTGAAGAAAAATGATACCAGAAAACAAAACTGTAATCTTTAAGAAAGAAGGTAAGAACAACAGAAACGGTAAGTGGTTAGGTAAATACAGAAGACTACTTTTCTCCCTTAATTGCTTAAAATATTTATGACTGTTTACAGCAAAATGTATGACCTAGTATAGTTTTCAATGTACGTAAATAAGACATATAAGTCTAACATAAAGTCCAGGTTGAAGTAAAAGGAAATATGTTTGCAAGTTTTCTACATTTTATAAGTGGTACAATATTTACCCTAAGTACACTGTGAAAGATTAGTTATGTACATTGCAAAACCTAAAGCAATCACTAAAAAAAATCATACCAAGAAATATCCCCAAAAAGCCAATACTAAAAATATTCAAATACAAAAGGAGACTGGAAAGGGAAAACAAGGGAACAAACAAAAAAACAAATAATATAAAGAGCTAGATCTTATATCTATATAAGATATATATTATATATATTGTATCTATATAATATATAGACCTAGATCCAGATATATCAGTAATCACATTAAATGTTAATGGCCTAAGTATTCACTAGCAGGCAGAATTCTGAAGCTATCCCCCTAAGATTCCTGCCCCTGCTTAGTCAATCAAACTAATTTAGCTCCTGCTATGAAGCAGCTTTGCACAAGGAATTAATGTTACTAATAAGCTGACCCTCAGATAGAAAGATTATCCTGGCAGGCCCAGGATAGGCCTGGCAAACCAATCACGGGCACTCTTAAAAGCAGAAGAGTAAGTCAGAGATGAGACAGAAGGGGAGGCAAGAGAGGATCAAAGAGTCAGAAGGACTTGCCCACTATTGCTAGCTTTGTAGATGGGAGAAGTAGGCCCCAAGGCAAGGAATGTGGGTAGTCTCTAGAAGCTGACAACAACCCCCAAGGGTCAGCCAGCAAAGAAACAGGGACCTCAGTCCCACAACCTCATGGAACTAAATTCTGCCAACAATCTGAGTGGGCCTGGAAATAGATTCTCCCCTAGAGCCTCCAGAAAGAAATGCAGCCCTGCTGACATCTTGATTTCGACCTGTGAGACCCAAGGAGAGAAGCAGCTATGCCCGGGCTTCTGACCCACGGAAACTGTGAGATAGGAAGTATTTTAAGTTGGTAGCAGTATATTAGCAGCAAGAGAACACCAATACACATTTCAATTAAAAGAACTGAACTGACAGAATGGATACAAAAGAAAGACCCTACTTATAGGAAACACTGTAAATTTTAAAAACAGACTGTATGAAAGTAAAAAGATATACCATGGAAACAAATAAGTATAAGTAGGCTGGAGTGGCTATCTTAATCTCAGATAAAATTAACTTCATGGCACAGAGCACTACAAGAGATAAAGTCAGACATTTCATAATGATAAAAGGAACAGTGTATCAGGAAGACAAAAACAATTTTAAGTGTATATGTACCTAATAATAGAGATTTAAAATACATGAAACAAAAATAAACAGATATAAGAGAAAAATAAGTAATTCCACAGTCAGTAAAAGATTTTGACAGCACTCTTTCAGAAACTGATAGGACCAAACAAACAAAAAAATCATTAAGGACACAGAAGATCTGAAGAACACTATTACCACCTTAATCTAATTTCACATTTATAGTAGGGTATATCTGACAACTGAAGAATATATACATTATTTTCAAGGGAACAGGTTCATTCACCAAGATAGGCCATATGCTGGGCCATAAAACATATCTCAGTGAATCAAAAACAATCAAAATCATACACAGTATATTCCCTGACCACATGGAATTAAATTACAAATCAATAATAATAAAATACTAGGGAAACCTCAAATATCTAATTATAAGACAACACATTTCTAAATAATTCCTGGGTTAAACGAGAAATTACAAGGGAACTAAGAAAATGTTTGGACTGAGTATAATGAAAATACAACATATCAAAATTTGTGGGATGAAGCTTCACCACTGCTAAGAGAAAAAAACGTGTAGCTACGTGCATAGAAAAGTACATAACGGGTGTAAGTGTGTAGGAAGTGGGCGAGTGGAGACAGATTCCATGGATTATGCCATACTTTACTTACAAAGATCTATCTTACAGATGTTCCACAAGTCTATAAAAATAGACTTTTATAAATATGAAAATGTTTGTGTTAGGCACAGAAACAAAATTTGGTTCAACGTATTGATCCATACCATGAAAAGCGCAAGGCAAGTCACAGCTTCTGCCAGAAAGCCTCTTGCTTTCAGTCTCCTGTTGTTTCCCTTCCCATTCAGATTTTCCACACACACACATTCATCTTATTTTGGTATTAATTTGTGTTTTTCACTACACTTACTTTCTCCTTTAGTGTATTTTAAATACAACTGGGAAATGAACAAGTAAACTAAGAATAAAAATGCAGAACCAGTTTATAAATATAAGAGGATTAGTTCAAAGGAACAAATAAAAATTTGAAGTATGAAGGCCGCCAAAGCTTTTCTTCCATTTCATGAAACTAGATTTGGTTATGTACCCCTGAAAAGTGGTTTTGAACAATAGTACACTCACAGAGAGCAGGTGAAAATTCTGCACCTTTAAAATCCACATTAAGTTTAGAAGTATAAAAGGAATTTATTGAAACTCTGTAGTTCCTAAAAGTAAAATGTGTGATGGTAATTAATCTTCACACAACAGGAATTTGTTTAGTTTTGATTATGTTGCTGCAGAAATTGTTAGCAGAAGATAAGGCAAAGTAATAGCAGTCAATAAACCTGTTTCTCAGTATCGCTGGGTAACCGTCTCTGTAATTTGTTCCCCTCAACAATATTATTCCCCGTGTTGTAGAGCTCTACAAAATTATTTAAAGAGTAGTGGTAGAAAAAAACATCCACATAGAGACAGAAGCCACATACAGGTGCTTTCTAGGGAACAGAAATGCTTCAATAACGAGGATGCAGAATTAAATTCCAAAACAAAAGTTGTCCAGCGTCAAGGAGAGGTGAGAAATCTGTAAGTGCGATGATGCATATCCAACGTTTACAACTAGTTATGGTTGGCTCAGGAAACTTAAAAGTCTGCCTGTTTTCTTAATGTGAAAATGGGTGATACGACTGTTGTTGAAGCAGCAGAAACACAAGTATTCTGAAGAATTAAGAGAAATTACAGAAAAATAATTACATATGGAAGAACCCGTCTTTAACATGCGTGGAGTGGATTGTCTTGGGGGGAAATGTCGAATAGATGATACATTTTAAAAGAATAAAAACAATTCAAGGAATGAAATATGGGTTATAACATTGGGGTTAATGCAGTGAAATACTATAAATTACCACAAACGTTATATAAAAGCCATAGTTAAGCTTTATACACACACACACACACATACACACACACATGCATTTTTAATCTCTAAAAAAGTGATTACTGTAAGCTAATCTATATATAGAAAATGTCTATATAACTATATATGTAATAAAGGTACTGAGGGCAATGAACAGTAAGAAAAAATTTAACAAACAAAATGGTATAGATCCTACCAATAAATGTGCCCAATCCTTAAAAGCAAACTTTCCCTAAGCTAGTTTAATAAGGAATTATGAGACCCAAGTTCTATCCAACCAAGAGAGGATTTCTGGGGCGCCTGGGTGGCTCAGTCGGTTAAGCGACTGCCTTCGGCTCAGGTCATGATCCTGGAGTCCCGGGATCGAGTCCCGCATCGGGCTCCCTGCTCGGCAGGGAGTCTGCTTCTCCCTCTGACCCTCCCCCCTTTCATGCTCTCTCTCTATCTCATTCTCTCTCTCAAATAAATAAAATCTTAAAAAAAAAAAAGAGAGGATTTCTGTACCTGATGTAATGCAATACTGGGCGTGTGCAAGTCAATAGTGGCCAGAGAAGGAATTCGAGATTCTGAAAGATTTTTGTTCTCTTTCCTTATTAACCTGGAATTTCGAGCTAAATAAAAATAACCATAAACACAGTGAAAAAATTAGACATTTTTTTAGCTTTTCCACATTCTGAATCTGTCCCTCAGTGTGTACTTAGTGTATACATTTACTTACATACAGCTGTACATATTTACATAAATATGTAAAGTTACTCTAATTTTTATATTTAGTATTTTGTTAGTTTATTTAACATACATTTTCAATAATGTATACAAAAAGGCTGAAAAAGTAAAAGCATTATAAACATACCTATGCCTTCCAAGGCTCTTAGTTCAGGGAGATGATTATAGTTTAGTTCAGGCAAACGGACATCTGTCTTAGAGTATTCCCTTCTTTTCTTATTTGCCTCAAGTAGGCTCTTTTCACTAGTGACCTAATATCAGAATGATTAACACAAGTGAATTAGCTTCCAGGTAAGCTTGGCTTGCCCCTTTTGTAACTAATATATTGATATCCTAAACTTTAGGAATTTAAGAATAACACAAAACTTCAGAAGTCCTGCAATGAGCTTTTGAGTTTCTTTAACTGGATGTTTCTTCTTGTTCTCTGAATAGAGTAAGTGTTAAGGCTCTTGGTTCAAATCAGTTATAAAATAATTAGTTCAAAAGAACTATCTGTAAGTACAAAAAAAATAATGAGTTCAAACTACTAGATTTACATATTCAAAGAGTGACAAATAAAATATATAAGAGATGCTTATAATAATACATTATTCACATCTCAGAATTAGAGCATGAGGCAGGCGAGAGGGGTATTGGTCTTCAACCCAGATGTTGAAGAAAGTTTAGGCTTAACTCTGCCTCCATTAATTTTCATCAAGAAGAGACTCAAGTGTGTCTTCTCCCCACTAATCTCTACCTCCTCTCTTGACTGCCTCTTAAAAATAAGGACAAACAGAAATAAGATCTAAAATTAACAGACAGCCTTGATTATGCAATGCCTGAAAGAAAGCCGATATCAATTCCAGCAACGTGGTATTGAGCCAGCTACTCTGAAAAGCCTTGCTGATCAAAGTAATCTGCCAAAGCAGACCAAGAATGTAAAACACAAAAATATCTACAGAGAAATCAGTAGGGTGTGGAAGAAAAGGGAAGTACTATGGTTATAGAAATTGTGGGCCAAGAATAATAAAAAGAAAAACAAATGCAATGCCCAAATCATGAGAGATATGAAAAGAAGGCTATATTTTTCAGACTGAGGATAATGAGAAGGGTAGAGGAGGGAAATCTGGGAGAAAAATACTCCTTTGGGAACACATCCACACCTCCCATTCCCTGGCAGAAGAATTAATTCACCACATTCCTTAAACATCTTCTATGTGCTAGACACTGTATTAGGTATAGGGTAGAGCTGTAAGGAAGGAAACAAACAAAACACATATTTCTGCCTCGGAAACTTACATTCTAGTTGGAAGAGACAGACAATATATAAATAAGTGAATATAGAGGCTGTTAGGTGTATGCAATGGGAAAAAATTAAGCAAGGAGAGAGGATAGAGAGTAATGGGAGACAAAATGAGTTCAAATATTAGGGAGGACCTCACAATAGGCTTCATGTAAGCCAAGGAGGAGAAAAAGCAAATTCTTTGGATTATCGGGGGAAAGAATTTTCTAAAGCAGAGGAAATAACAAGTGCAAAAGCCCAAATGTAGGAGCATGTCTGGTCACGTTCGATGAATACAAGGAAATCAGTGGGTTGGAATGGATTGATCGAGAATGAGAGTAGCCGGAATGGAATAAAGGGATGAGGAAGTCAATCAGGGATTTCCAGGCCCTGTCAAGGACTTTGGTCTTTATTCAGAGATGACAAGACAATGGCGGGTTTTGAGTGGAAGAATAATGATGATTTAAGTTAACTTTAAAAAGAAGCATTCTGGCAGCTATGTTGAGCATAATAACACTCCTCTGAATCTTCAGAAGACCTCTGAACCTTGTACATGATTCCACTATTATAATCTGTCACTGTTTGAATATGTTGATCCTAAACTAGACCATGAGCTCCTTGAAGAGAAGGATTTGATTTATCGATCTCCAGTGTCTCATATATAATACATAATAAATTTTTGTAAATGAATAAACAGAATACTTTCACCAAAAATCTGGCATGAGTGAGGTACAATTTATCTTGTCACCTACTCTACAAAAGAACCTATCACCAAGTATTAAGAAAATGTAGTATTACCAAAAAAATTAAAGCAGATGTCATTTAAATAATATCTTATAATTAAACTTCTAGACTTGCAAAACTTACTTAAACCTTAAGATTTTCACATTTCTGATTATGACAGGTTGGGATGATATACATATAATTAAGGTTCCACTTTATGATATGTCTCCAAATAAAAGACTCAGTTCTTCGCTATTATATTTAAAATGAGTAGAAGTCTAGAAATGACTAATGCTTGCTCTTCTACCACTGGGAATAGTTCACTTACTGATGAGGTCACATTAATATTATAAATGCCTGATGGAGAATGTTTATTTGGTTTAACAAATGGAATACAATACTTCTTGGTTTTCTCATCCACTCTGTAACAACAACAAAAAATTTAAGTTAGAACCAGCGGTAATTATTTTTCAAGCACAAAACCAAAACCAAATGACACAAAACCAAGCGACCTGCAGTTTAATCAGCATTTAATGCCTGTTCTTAAATACACAATGAATATAGATCTGGTGAAACATTCTGTCCTTTGCCGCTATCCTCATGCCTCCCACCTAGCTCCCAACTCCAACCAAATAAATTACTTTCCTTCCAGCAAAATTTCCAAAATAAGCTTCTTTGGACCACCAAACTCCCACAGCCATACCATGTAGCAGCAGACCCTTAAAACCAATTACTGCTTTTATTATGATAACCTCCTTTCACATTTTTAGACTAAATAGTTGTAAAGCTTCTTCACCTTAAACAGTACACAATCCTTCTTTCTTAATACTCAGGTGAGGTTTTTTTAATCAAATGCTAGTAATTTTCATCACGTAGGCCAAAAGGCTTTTGAAACAGAATCCTGACAAGAAAGAAGAGCACCCAGAAGCCTGAAACTAACATAATATGGCTGAATTGACAAACACTTGCAATTTGCAAACATACCCTTTAAACAACTCTTTGTTCTTATTTTCCTAATTCATACCTGTAACTCGGAACTCCTGGGATAGTCACCATTCCAGAATTAATACCGGGAGCCACCCCAGCAAGGCTGTGCGCAAGGCGAGGGATTGCCACGCCCGGACTTCTAGAGTGGTCCACACTGCCATCGCTGCAATCTCGGAGGTTGGTAGGAGGCACCGTTCTGAGGTGGCTCATCCCATTGTCAGGGAGACAGCTCGTATTTGAAGCTCGACTGACTTTTTCAACCTTTTCTCCATCCATTTTTGACCCTTTTATTTTAAATACTTTAGAATCCTTAATTTTGGGATCAGCATTGGTATCCTGACCATTAATAAAAATGTTAATAACAGTATGTCAAATATACTGCAATAAACAAAATATATTGCCTTTGCTAAAAAAAAAAGTTAAAAACATTAATGATCTGAGGAGAATGAAAAATCATCTCTTCCTATAAAGAATTTGTCAACCAAAGCAAAATTCCATAAATACCACCTCACTGTGCTCCTGTTTTCTTTATTCTATCTATAGAATTAAAATTAAACCCAGGATTCTTGGTCAGACATGTATTTTGAATAAAAATGCAGGGGCGCCTGGTTGGCTCAGTCGTTGGGCATCTGCCTTCCGCTCAGGTCATGATCCCAGGACCCTGGGATCGAGCCCCGCATCGGGCTCCCTGCTCGGCAGGGAGTCTGCTTCTCCCTCTCCCGCTCCCCCTGCTTGTGTTCCCTCTCTCGCTGTGTCTCTCTCTGTCAAATAAATAAATAAAATCTTTAAAAAAATTTTTTAAATAAAAAATAATGCAATTCACGGGGCACCTGGCTGGCTCAGCCAGTAGAGCATGCAACTCTTGATTTCAGGATTGTAAGTTCGAGCCCCACAGTGGGTGCAGAGATTACTTAAAAATAAAAAGTCTCTAAAAGAAAAAGAAATGCAATTCACACTAGCATCAGATTAATATGATACATACATATAGCAAATTTATATATATATTTCAGTAGAAAAAAATGTGAAAGAGGAACGAAGTATGCCCACTTTTGTTCTTATATATATAAAGTACAAATTGAAATATAAAATTGATAACTCCTTCTTCTTTCAGTTCACTTGAGAAACTGGGAGTGGGTTGGCAGTGGACTTGAATTACCTCACCAAGAACAGATTCTGGATAACCTACCTGCAAAAGTAAACTTCAAATAATTTGAATATCAATTTTAAAATGCTCTATACAAAATTTTTAAAGTGATCTTTTTCTCTCCTATCACTTAAGGAAAAAAATGGTTTGTGTCTATGTGTTTACATGTGAGCACAAGTATCTAAATGTTCTTAGATGAATATGATTTCCTGACAAGATCTATTGCACAGTCTGATACACAGTAGGCACTCAATACATGATATGTTAAGACAGTTTTTTAAAAGGGAATGTCTAAAAAGAAGATAACATTTTTACAACTAATCTAAAAGTTAACGTGTTCACCACTCAGAAAACCTTTCTTCATCTTCATTTTTTAACTCCAAAAATTTAAGGACAAACTAAATCTAAAACTGAATATACACTGAAGCACCTAGGAGGATCAGTTGGTTAAGCGTCTGCCTTTGGCTCAGGTCATGATCCCAGGGTCCTGATATCGAGTCCTGTGTCGGGCTCCCTGCTCAGCAGGGAGTCTGCTTCTCTCCCTGCCCCTTCCAACCCCCGCCCCTTGTGCTCTCTCTCTCTCTCTCTCTCAAATAAATAAATAAATAATCTTAAAAAAAAACTTAATACACATTAAGACATGGTCATTACCTGTACCACAAGTGTTTTTCTCTCTTCACATAAGGAATCATCTTTTTCCTTTTCCTTCTTTCTGTTTTGGGATTTTTTAGATAAAGAAATATTTCTGGCATCTTTCTGTACTTTCAATTGTAATTCCTGAGAAAATCTACATAAAAATACATTTGTCAATTCAATAAAATTGCATAAAACAGATAAATCTAGAAAAAAATTCATTTTCAAGGTATTTATTTTTAAAAATTGAGTATTAAGGGACACCTGGGTGACTCAGTCAGTTAAGCATCTGTCTTCAGCTCAGGTCATGATCCTGGAGTCCCAGCCCCACATCTGGCTCCCTGCTCAGCGGGGAGTCTGCTTCTCCCTGTCCCTCTGCCCCTCCACCTGCTCCTTCTCTCTCTCTCTCTCTCTCTCTCTCACTCACCCTCTCTCTCAAATAAATAAATAAAATCTTTTTTAAAATTGAATATTAAACTAGACTATGGGGGCACCTAGGTGGTTCAGTTGGTTAAGCGGCTGATCTTTGGCTCAGGTCATGACCCCAAGGTCCTGCGTTCAAGCCCAGCATTGGGCTCCCTGCTCAGCAGGGAGTCTGCTTCTCCCTTTCCCTCTGCCCCTCCCCCCTGCTCCTACGCTCTTTCCCTCAAATAAATTAAATCTTTAAAAATAAAAAAAAGAAAAGGAATTGTGTATTTGAAATACAAACTATACTAGCCACTTTATTCATGGAATATTTTTATTTAAAGACTGACAGAAAACTACTACAGTTATTCAGACTTGGGGTATTCTGCAGACTTTTTTTTTTTTAATGAAGAAGGGAAAGCAACAGGTAATATTTGTGTTAATGATAAAATTCAAATTTTTATGCAAAATTAGAATTCTGTTAAACTTGTGTCCACTACTGTGACCTTAACAGATTCCCAATACTTAAAACGACTTTTCTGATGACAGAGAATGTGGCTTTTTGAAACCATATAATGAAACATGTTATCATTTTAAAGATCTACATTATTTAACAAAACAATATTTTCCAAATGACTCATAATGATGTTACAAAAGCATGCATGGGTAAAAGATCTATTCAAAGTGCAAGTTAGAGGGGTGCCTGGGTGGCTCCGTCGTTAAGCGTCTGCCTTCAGCTCAGGTCATGATCCCAGGGCCCTGGGATCGAGCCCCGCCTCGGGCTCCCTGCTCGGCAGGAAGCCAGCTTCTCCCTCTCCCACTCCCCCTGCTTGTGTTCCCTCTCTCGTTGTGTCTCTAATCTGTCAAATAAATAAATAAAATCTTTAAAAAAAAAAAAAAGTGCAAGTTAGACAAATGGATTTTAATGTAACAGGGTAAGAAAAGTTCACTGATATGTTTCAGATTCCACAACGCAACCAGCCTTTAAGAAACTACCACTGTCAAGTTTTGGTATAGTATCACAGTTTTGGGTATGGCATCGATAAAGAATACTCACAATTATCTAAAAGGGCTATTAAAATACTCTTCCATTTTGCAACTATATATCTGTGTGAGGCCAAAGTTTCTTCATACATCTCAACCGAAAGAACATATCACAACTAATTGAATGCAAATGCAAATATGAGAGCTGGGGTATCTTTTATTAAGCTAAAGATTAAATCGAGTTGCCAAAATATAAAGCACTGTCATTGCCCCTCATCTCACTATCTTTGGTTTTGTCAGCTGCACGGATGCCAGCAGCTGGGGCAGCACAGGAGCCCACGCTGGCAGCTCTGGCGCACCCAGGTTGGGCCCAGCAAGGTCCCAGCACAGCAGTGGCAACAGCGTCGTGGGACTGGCTGTGGTGTGAGGTCAGGGGCAACGGGAGACGGCACCTTTGCAAATGCATCAGTACCCAAGATGATGGCATCTCACAGCTGGCAGCAACATACTAATCAGTGACCTGAGGGGTAGATGTCTCCAGTGGGACACAGAAAAAAAAGCACGAAGTGACTGCTTCACGAAAACCAAGATCCCTAATTTAGTGAATTCAGGGGGCCACTTCTAGGCACTGCATAATTGCTAAGGGTGAATAGAGGTAGGGTTGTAAATATTTGAGATCCTATAAAAGCAGGTGGGTAGAGAAATAAGAGAATACCCTTACTTTAACTCTAGGATGGGGTGCCCCAGAAAACATGAGTCGGTACCATACCTCTCAGCAAATCCATCCATATGAAAGAAATCATGATGGAGGAGCTCAGCACAGAAGGGTCTTTTGTCTGGGTCAATATGTAAGCATTTCTGGAAAACCAAGGAATATACACAGCTCATATCAATGAAAAACTGCCTACATTTAGATTTCTAAATATAGAAAAATAGAAAATTGGGGTGCCTGGGTGGCTCAGTTGGTTAAGCATCTGCCTTCAGCTCAGGTCATGATCCCAGGGTCCTGGGATTGAGTCCTGCATCGGGCTCCCTGCTTAGCGGGGAGCCTGCTTCTCCCTCTGCCCCTCCCCCCTCCCCCCTGCTCATGCTCTCTCTTTCTCTCTGTCTCTCAAATAAATAAATAAAATCTTTTTTTTTTTTAAGATTTTATTTATTTATTTGAGAGGGAGAGAATGAGAGAGAACACATGAGAGGGGATAGGGTCAGAGGGCAAAGCAGACTCCCCGCCGAGCAGGGAGCCCGATGCGGGACTTGATCCAGGGACTCCAGGATCATGACCTGAGCTGAAGGCAGTCGCTTAACCAACTGAGCCACCCAGGCGCCCCAATAAATAAAATCTTTGAAAGAAAAATAGAAAATCGCTCTTTATGGTCAATGAATTTTAAAAGCACATAATAAATGATAAAGAATAAAGAACAAATCTAGGCCATGACCACCAATGGTTGCTAATATCGCAAAAAGAAAGACCACCAGATGTAGTCTTGCCAAAAATCAACCTGATTCAGATCAAGCTCTAGTTCTGAGTTTATAAGAAATACAGGACAGGGAGGAACATAAAAGCTATACTATGTGGAAAATTCTAAGGGTCAAACCACCTATTTTCTTTATCAAATAAATGGCAAGGTTTAAACAAAAAAGAAAGAGATGAATATGAGCTTGTAAATTAAGATATATCAACCAATTGTGATCTACAGATGTCATGTAGATCCTAATTCAAACTATAAAAAGAAATTATGAGAAAATCAATGAAACTTTGAGCATTGGCTAGAAGTTTTATAATATTAGGGAATTACTGTAAATTTTTAAAATTTAAAGCCCTTGCAGAATGGAAGGGAAAGGGCCTATTCTGTGTATATTACTGTGCCGGATACTTTACATTATTTTATTTTAATGCAGGTCTTGTTCTGATTTATTGGAACCACTCAATGCCAATAAAAATAGAAGGAACTCAATAAATAGCTTTAAGTGAACAAGAAAAGTTCTACAAATAATTAAGGTATTTATAAGTGAAATAATATAGTATCTGGGATTTGGTTCAAAATACTACAGAAAACATAGTTGAGGAGGGTGAAGATAGGTAAAAGATTGTCAAAAGGTTATTAATTGCTGTAGCTAGATGATAAGTACACAAGGGTTCATTATACTAGTATATTCTTTCTTTTCTATATTTGAAATTTTCCATTATAAAATGTTTAAAAGTTATATAATTCTGTTATAAGGGACATAAATTGGATAATAGTTTTACCTTAATTCCCTTTAAATCTCTATAGACATCATAAAGCTGGTCTCAATAAAAAATATTTGAATCTGTTAGAAGATTATGTAGAAAAGTAGACATATATTCTTCTAAGAACTTGTTATAATTTTTTATAAGCTTACTAAACTTTTTTTAACAACTCGTTTAAAAATTTTAAAAAGTAAAAAACATCTTGCGAAAATGTCATATGATCCTGGTGTTTCAGATATACTGTACTTATTTTATCAATACTTCAAGAGAGTCCAAATTAATAAGAATTTTTTTATTTTATTATGTTATGTTATTCACCATACATTACATCATTGGTTTTTGATGTAGTGTTCCATGATTACAATTCCAAAGGTCCAGTAAGAATTTCCCTAATATCTTCCTCAAAGACAAGGCAAAGGTGATGATCTTTTATTTGTTAAGTTCACTTAGTGAATCCAGTGGCTAAGCAACAGCCTCTTTAACAAGATAGTACAGGTCATGATCTTATGCCCTATATTTTAATATTTTGCTACTTCTTTTCCTTTCTTTTTATTTCCTTATCCTACTTGTCTTCTCTTTTCCACTTGCATAGGCTTACATCTTAAGTGTTAAACATATTGTTGTGAGGATGTTTTCATACTTAAAACATGCTAGATAACAATAGTAAATGGTTTCTTAAAACAAATAAATTTTTCAGGCCTTTCTCTCTGAAGATCCCCCTGCCAAATTATTTAAACTCTTTCTTTATGTACAAAAATTAAAATCAGGGGCGCCTGGGTGGCTCAGTCAATTAAGCCTTCAGCTCAGGTCATGATCGCAGGGTCCTGGGATCAGAGTCTTACATCAGGCTCCCAGGGAGCCTGCTTTTCCCTCTCCCTCTGCCACTACCCCTGCTTGTGCTCTCTCTCAAATAAATAAAATCTTTAAAAAAAAATTAAAATAAACAGAAGGGTGTCTGGCTGGCTCAGTCAGTGGAGCATGCAACTCTCAATCTGCCGGTTGTGAGTTTAAGCTCCAAGATGGGCTTAGAGCCCACCGGCCAAAAAAAAAGGCGGCAGGGGTGGGGGGCCTCCTGGCTGGTTCAGTCGGTAGAGCATCAACTCTTGATCTCAGGGTCGTGAGTTTGAGCCCCATGTCAGGGGTAGAGTTTACTTAAAATAAATTAATTTAATTTAATTTAATCAATATTGAAATTGTTGACCTAAAAGATCAACTAGACAAGAATAAGAGAAAACCAAGTCTCTATAATATAAATTCACTATAAGAAAGTAAACAGTATGATTACCTTTGCTAAATCTATCACAACTTCAGAGAGCTTGGGATAGCGTCTTTCAAGAGGTTCTGTTTCCTTGATTTCCGGCAACCTTACTCCAGCAAACACAGGATTTTTATAAAACAGCTCCTGATGTCTTGGAATTAGATTACCTGGAAGTGAGAATAGCACATATCTCTGTCATTATACATCATGATAGAAAGAGCAAAGAAATGGGTAAAGTGGATTGGACAAAAGAGTGGAATACTACTTATGGACTCGGGGCTCTCTCAGCATGCAAAATCAACCAAAACAGTGTTCTTATGGTGGTGACACCCGGCAATCTTCATAGTGGTGTTAATGCAAGTTAACTCAAGAAAATTAACATTCTTATCTCAACCTACTCATTTAGAAAATTCAAAAGCCACAATATATAGAACTGAAATCATAAGGGAGCACAGATAAAGGACAAGTAAAGAACATTTTATAATTTTTTAGATATAAGTACCAACACTTCTTTTCTAACAACAAAGCTTAAAGTGCTGTCCAAAACAATGAAAATATCATTAGTCATATGATCCGAATCCAATCTAGATAAATCAGTTCCACCCTTTAAGAATTTAATTTTAAAATTAAGATTAAATTGTTTTAATTTTTTTTAATTAAAATTGTTTAAAAAATTCTTAAATCTGCTGATTTTGTACCTGTGTCTAAGGTCTGATTTGAGCACTTTTATCTTTTTCTTCAATTTTAGTACCTACTCTAGTGTAAAATATGAAAATTCTGCTGTAAGAACCTATTGAATTGTTTATTGAATTTTTACCCTGGAAATTTAAAATCCAATAGTTAAATAAATCAAGTATTTTCCCATTATTTCCATTTTCCAAGTCCCATCTATGAACATGAAGTTGATATTTCAACAAATGTAAGAAGACTTTGATAGTCTAGCTTTAAAATTCTGTCCAAAGCACTAAGATTAAACTACCTAGGAAGTCTCTGTGTCTCTCAGTTTGAAGGAGAGGATGAGGGTAATAGTCATATTACAGCAAACGCTTGCTAGCCCAAGGAAAATAAATCATCATTTGCATCCTCTACATGTGATTTACTGAGTGCAAAAGTACAGAAAAAATTTACAGTCTTTGCTCTTTTCTTTGTGGGGAGTGAGACAGGAGGGTGGATGAGAGCATGAATAAGCCCATACGTCAGACAGGCCAAAGCCAGACTGAGAATGAACTAATATAGACAGATAGATGAGATTTTCCTATCTGTTCCTTGCTGCCACTTAAAACACATACCATCTTTAACATACCGACAACTTGTAAAACCAAGACGAGCAAAAACATAAGGGAAAAACCTCTAAAATTTAAAATGCAGATGTATAATCTTACCTAAACACATCATAATATGATATAGCTGATCAATATCAGAATCTCCAGGAAAAAGGGGTTCCCCCATGAGCATTTCAGTCACCAGACAACCAATGGCCCACACATCAACAGCCCTGGAATAGAAGAAATGTGGTATAAAATCTGGCATCCTACTATGTTTATTGTCACTGAGTCTGTTCTGCATATTACTACTTGGTATTTTGGGTATTGAGAACAGTAGTAGTAGCAAGCTTTAAATTACCCATAAAAATACATTTCCCTATAAACTTCAAGTACTAATTCCCAATTTTACCCAAGTCAAATTTTCAGGAACTTCAATTATGTGACATAAGTGGGAAAAGGCTTCTGAAAAGTCAAAATCTTTATTATGTGTACTTTATTCTGGAAATAAGCCTTTTGGGTTTCCATTCAGAGCCTATTTGTTCTTTGTTTACACGTGACTCTAACAAGGTTGATTAGTCTATCCCACCATACACTGAAAACAGCATCCCAGAGGTTGTCGGAGACACATTCAGTAACAATAAGGAGAACTGATAGTAGTAACAGGGGAAAAAAATAGAAGAACCATCTTAAAAATCAGTCACAAGAATTTAATGGGCTGGTGTCATTAGCATAGGGACAACTACCTTGAAATTTCTTTTTTTTAAGATTTTATTTATTTATTTCCCAGAGAGAGAGAGAGAGCACAAGCAGGGGGAGCAGCAGGCAGAGGGAGAGGGAGGAGACTCTCCGCTGAGCAGAAAGCCCAATGACAAGGGGCTCGATCCCAGGACCCCGGGATCACGACCTGAGCTGAAGGCAGATTTTTCACCGACTGAGCCACCCAGGCGCCCCTACCTTGAAATTTCTTAAGGTCAGAGCTGAATTATAAAATGGTACAGGGGCGCCTGAGTGACGCAGTAAGTTAGGCGTCCAACTCTTGGTTTCGGCTCAGGTCATGATCTCAGGGTCGTGAGATCCAGCCCTGCATTAGACTCCATGCTCTGCACAGAGCCTGCTTAAGACTCTCCCTCTGCCCCTGCCCCCTCTCTGAAGTAAATAATTTTTCAAAAAAATAAAATAAAATGGTACAAAACTTACAGTATAACAATAAAATGAGAACTGAGAGTAATCAAGAAAATACTAAATGATGTGTGCACTGAAAACACAGAAAATACAGAAAACATTTTAGAAAGGTTTCTACCCAAAGCAGTAGAAGTTACCATCCCTTCTTCTCTGAAGAATTCGTTCATGCAGATAAATCATGTTTTAAAAACACTTCACTCAATTATGTTTCCACCCCAATTTGCCCGCTCCACCTTGCCTCATTCCTACAGTGTCAGACTTATCCAACGTTCCCTCTCTTTACAAGTGATAAACATACCTATTTCCGACCCATCGTAAAACACAGACCACTTACTCACCTTAATTTCCCTACCTTTAAAATAAGTATGCTTTCCCCAACTCACTGCACAAAAAAAACCTTTAAAGGAGAAGCACCAAAAAGAACAAGTCACCTTATAAAGGTCCCTAAATGCAAAACTTCCTTTCAGTGTTAGAGGGATCTTTTATTATATTAGAAACATTCCATTTTATCAAGAAAAAAGTATTAAATCTGCCCTCCCTGCCCTCCACCCCCTTGTTGATATCTTACTTGCCATACTTGACATCACCAACCAATAGTTCTGGAGCTCTGTACCATCGGGTTGCCACATAATCAGTATAAACTTCCCCAGGGGCTGCCAATGTTCGCGCAAATCCAAAATCACACAACTTGACAACGCCAGACTGGGAGACTAATATATTCTCTGGCTTTATATCTCTGTGTATGATCTAAGAAAAAAAACCAGAATATGACACATATGGGCACATCAAGTTAGGCAAATTATTTTTTGAGCACCTGCCATGTGCAGGGTACTGTTTTTGTCCCTATGATGAATACAAATAAAAGCATATAAAATTGTTCCTGGCTTTAAAGTAACTGGGACCTGGCTAGGCAAGAAAGGACACTTATGCTTGAAATTTCACTTAAACAATCAAAGATATTGGATGAAATATATATTACTAAATACCAAATCAATTGTTCTATTAATGACTACTCTCAAGACTAATGGAGTAAGGCTATCACTGAACACTAGAGTGGTCATGGAAAATTTTTATGAAAGGAGTGCCTTCTAATATAGGTCTCTAATACTACGTGTGACCTGGATAAATATAGAAATGGAAGGACAATCCGAGTGAAGGAGAGTAAAAGAGCGAAGCCTGGTCCAAACTTCAGGCTAGGCAAGTGTCTCATTAACTATGGTCTCTGGTAAGTTAATCATTGGCAAAATAATTATTTAAACTAAATACTTACATTGTGACTGTGACAAAATCCAATTCCATTAATAATCTGAAACAAATACTTTTGAACCAGTTGGTAGTCTAATCCATTGGGAAAGAGCTCCAAGTCATCAAGAATTGTATGGTCAACAAATTCAAAGACTAGGTACCATCGTTTTTTTTTCTTACACACTTCCAACAGATTCACCAGATTTTCATGCCTCAGTTGCTGTTGTAAAAAAAAATGCAAAATCATTTTTACAACATTGAATTATTTAGCAATCAGTCACAATCTAAAATATTAGCATAAGAAAAACATATAAATAAAATTCATGAACAGTATAAATTGTTAAAAGAATAGTCTTGTTTTTCAATTATAGTCAAAAGACCATACTGCCCTATTCTCCTCTCAAAGAACACAATAAAACCAATGAGAAAAAAAAATGTAGCTCCATCTTTGATGAAACTAAGCAGGATCTATGACCCCTACCCACAACAAATGAGGTGGGACTGCCAAATGTAGTCAAGGTCAAAACAGAAGTTTAGGAAGCTACCAAGAGATGGCCTGTGGCTAAAAAGCTGGGAGAGCAGAGTAATCCAAAATTGGTGACATACCCTGAAAAGGAAAAAAAAAAAAAAAAAAAAACTCCTTCTTTGATAAAATAGGAAAAAGATTCATGGGCTGTCAGTGAAAGCAACCCTGGAACTGAATGGTACCAAGGAACAGCAGGGAAGTGAGGCCTGAATAATCACACAGAAACTCCTCCGCTGGAAGCAATCTCTTGGTGAGGCCAAATAGAAGGCAAAATAACTCATTATGAACAAACCAGCAAATGCAAGGATTAACAGAAGTCAATCCCACAAATCAGGCTTGCATTGTAAGGAACATTGTGAACCATGTTGGATTCCTGCTAGCCTGGAACAAGATCACAGTTTCTCCCCCAAATGAACCTTCTACAGATAGCTAGTCCAGGAAGGGCTTACTTTGTTACAAGATAAGAAACAATCAAAAAGAAATCAATCCAGGATCTATTCAAAGATACTATAAGAAGGGGCGCCTGGGTGGCTCAGTCGTTAAGCGTCTGCCTTCAGCTCAGGTCATGATCCCAGGGTCCTGGGATCGAGCCCCGCATTGGGCTCCCTGCTTAGCGGGAAGCCTGCTTCTCCCTCTCCCTCTGCCTGCCGCTCTGCCTACTTGTGCTCTCTCTCTGTCAAATAAATAAATAAAATCTTTAAAAAAAAAAAAAAGATACTATAAGAAAAGAGGAAGAAAGGGGAAGGAACAGAAATGGTGGATGAATACTCATCAGATAATGTCACCACCATTAAAGGGAAAGAAACTACTAGAACACAGCCCTGAAAACCTTCAACGAAATAATGATCCAGGAAATTTATACCCAAAAAAATTGTCATTCATATAAAAGATGACAATGAAAATTCTGAATATAAACAGTGAATCCATTAGTGAGGGACTAAGTCTTAGCAAATGTGGGCATCATGGTCACAAAACTGAAAGTGAATATTTAAAACCTAACAAGGCACAAATGATATTACTAACAAATTTTGAAGAAAGAAGAAAAGATGCAAACAAGAGTGTATGTGTGCTGATTTCCTTGTCAATGGGTCAAAATTATATTTTCAAACTGCAATTTTAAATTACAAGGCCTAATTATAGGTTTCATGGTAAACACTAAGATAAATAAGATGTTTTTGAAAATCAGACGAGTGGCAGAGAAAAGGAAGTAGAAACATAATAATTACAAAGGATTAAGTATATACAAAATTCTATAGTTATAAAAGTAACAAATAGGAAAAAATAGGAAAAAGTAAAAAAATACTAACAAATAATTACAAAAGGTAATTTCCAAATTATCAAAGGAAACATATCCAATATTTTAAACATAATTCAGAGATTATATAGAAAAATATTTTTAAAGGTGTACTAAAACAGCATAATATTATAAATAATGATAACCAATATTTACATACTCCTTACTATGTTCCAGACACTATTCAAGCACAAAAACCCTATGAAATAGATACCATCATTATTCTATTTTATAGATGAGGAAACTAAAGCACACAGAAGTTAAGTAACCGATCCAAGGTCACAAAGCAATAACTGCTAGAGGCAGGATTAGAACCCAGTCACTGTGACCTCTGTCTTTTCCTGAAAACACTTCATTTTTGTTTAGTTCCTCCTCCATGTCTAGAATGTCTGCGATATAAGCACATCCAGACCTGCAGCTGACTTGAAGGCAAAATATTTAGATTTCTTATTCTTTTTTTTTTTTTATAAAGATTTTATTTATTTATTTGAGACAGAGAGAATGAGAGACAGAGAGCATGAGAGGGGGGAGGGTCAGAGGGAGAAGCAGACTCCCCGCCGAGCAGGGAGCCCGATGCGGGACTCGATCCAGGGACTCCAGGATCATGACCTGAGCTGAAGGCAGTCGCTTAACCGACTGAGCCACCCAGGCGCCCTTAGATTTCTTATTCTTAACCACTAAGCCATACTGACATTTTTTTAAAGATTTTATTGATTTATTTGAGAGAAAGAGAGCAGGAGGAGGGAGAGGGAGAAACAGACTCCTCGCTGAACAGGGAGCCTGATGTGGGGCTTGATCCTGGGACTCCGGGATCATGACCTGAGCTGAAGGCAGACGCTTAACCGACTGAGCCACCCAGGCACTCCCATACTGACTCTTAAAGTGAAAACTAAGACTGCACTTATCTGTTACATCATAACTATAAATGGGCTAAACTCACCTATTAAAATAAAAGATTCCAGATTGAATCACAAAGCACTTTCCAAATATATCACTGGTTAAGGGAATTAAGAGGTATCCATACAACGAAATAAACCGCAGCAATTAAAAGAAAAAGGTAGAGGCAGCTGGGTGTTACCTTTTCAAAAATCAAGGTAAGTAGATAAATAAAATATGTATCAGTGTGTGAAAAGAGAAACTGAAGCACATTAAAATTTATGTGAGCTTATTTGATCAAACGTCAATTTGCACAAGGCATCATCAAACTGAGAGAGGTTAAGAGTACTCTAGTGGTAGAAGCTAAGGGAAAGGATTTTATAGAGCAGACGTGGAAGCAAAGTGAGGAAATTATTTGGTTGGCTGTCCTGTATGTGGTTGCATTACTGGTAAAAGCCTAGTTTGCTGTTTGTGAGTGGTTGTTTTTAAGTTCCAGTATCTGAACTGGAGCAGACTCACAAGTGGAAACCTTTGCAGGAACCAATGCCAAGGCAGGAAAACCTGAACTGCAATTGACAAATTACTGGAGGCTCAGCGTGGACAAATCTAAAAGTTAAAAACTCCAGAAGAACCCAATCACAGAGGGGCCCCCACAACATTGTGAGATTTATCTCCAGGAGCTTAGCCAGATTCCCACAGTCAATTTTGGAGAAAACTCTCCTCCTTCCACAGGAGGAGGAGAAAGGAACCATTCTGAAATATGCCAGAGCTGTGTTCTTAACAAGGCCTGCCCTCAGCAAAAACTAGTTAAGCAGAGTCTAAGCAGCTGTGGTATTATCAGAGCCTAACTGGCCTGAGGAAGGGAAATACTCAACTTCATCCTACTCTAGCCATCCTGTCCCACCTAAGGAAGGGAGAAAAAACTGAGAAACACTTGCAAAGTTCACTGTCCAGAACTATAGGCAGACTAAAAGACTGAGACCTACCATAAGACTATAAAGCTCTTTGCCTCCCCCTTACCTCACCTCCACATTACTAAAGCCTATTTAGAGCAGCTCCTTCTACCCAGGACATCATGCCCAGCTATCAAGAAAATATTACAAGAGGGATGCCTGGGTGGCTCAGTCGGTTAAGTGTCTGCCTTCAGCTCAGGTCATGATCCCAGGGTCCTGGGATGGAGCCCCTCATCGGGCTCCCTGTTCAGCGGGGAGTCTGCTCCTCCCTCTGCCTGCCACTCCCCCTACTTGTGTTCACTCTCTTTCTCTGACAAATAAATAAATTTTTTAAAAAGAATTAAAAAAAGAAAATATTACAAGATATGCCAAAAGGCAAAAAACAAGAGACAGAACAAGTATCAAAACCAGACATGGCAGGGATGCAGGAATTTAAAGCAACTGTGATTGATCTGCTAAGGGCTGTAATGGGTAAAGTTGACAGCATGCAATAACAGATGGGCAATGGAAGCAGATAGATGAAAATCCTAAGAGCCAAAAAGAAACGCTGGAGAGGGGCGCCTGGGTGGCTCAGTCATTAAGCATCTGCCTTCGGCTCAGGTCATGATCCCAGGGCCCTGGGATCAAGCCCCGCATCAGGCTCCCTGCTTGGCGGGAAGCCTGCTTCTCCCTCTGCCACTCCCCCTGCTTGTGTTCCCTCTCTTGCTGTGTCTCTATCTTCAAATAAATAAATAAAATCTTAAAAAAAAAAAAAAAAGAAACGCTGGAGATAAAAAACACTAACAAAATGAAGAATGTCTTTGATGGGTTTATTTGTAGACTAGACACACCTGAGGAAATAATCTCTAAGCTAGAGGATATGTCAATAGAATTCTCAAAAAACAAAAATAAAAGAGAACAGGGACAAGAAAAGAAAAATACCCAAAGACTGTAGGACAACTATAAAAGGTATAGCATACATGTAATGGGAATACCAGAAGAAGAAGAAAGAGAGAAAGGAACAAAGAAAATATTTGAGGGGCGCCTGGGTGGCTCAGTGGTTAAGCGTCTGCCTTCGGCTCAGGTCATGATCCCAGGGTCCTGGGATCGAGCCCCGCATCGGGCTCCCTGCTCTGCGGGGAGCCTGCTTCTCCCTCTCCCATTCCCCCTGCTTGTGTTCCCTCTCTCGCTGTGTCTCTCTGTCAAATAAATAAAATCTTAAAAAAAAAAAAAAAAGAAAATATTTGAAACAATAATGATTGACAATTCCTCAAAATTGATATCAGATACTAGACCACAGATCCAGGAAGCTCAGAGAACACCAAGCAGAATAAATTCCAGGGAAAAAACAAACAAAAAACCTACACATAGGCATATCATTTTCAAAATATAGAAAATAAAAGATGATGAAAAAAATCCTGAAAGAAGCCAGAGGACAGAAACATCTTACCTACCCAGAAACAAAATAAGAATTACATCCACCTTCTCCTCAGAAACCACACAAGCAAGGAGAGTGGAGAGAAATATTTAAAGTTTTGAGAGAAAAAAACCACCAACTTAGATTTCTGTATCCTGCAAAATAATACTTCAAA